CTGTCTCGCTAACTTGCTGATGATGATGGCCACTCTCTGACATAACAGCAATGGATACTCTGCTTCACTGGCCGTGTCATACTGCCACCTTCCGTCCAGGGACTTACTTACTTTCCAAGCTTTGTGGTCATGGGAGTGGTCGCACATGACGCCGAGCTGACATAGGTCCCGGCAGTTGTGCAAGAAGGACGTCTTCTTGTCTCTGTTGCCCCCGTGCATACACACTTGAAAGGTTGTGAAGTAGATCCCATGAAGGTCGAACAATGCTTTGATACATGGAACTTGCCACACGTAGCTGTTGGTAGGGTTCTCAATGAACACGAACGCGCCACATCGATGTGCATAAACGAAAACTCGTGCTGCAACAGAGTAACATGCGTTGGCCTGCTCGACGCGCGCCCTATCCCTCCCTTGAAGATGAGGTAGTCCACTCGGGTGCTCCGCACTGCGCAGAGGTGGCGGCGATGGTACTCCTAGCCGTTGCAGCCATCTAGGGATGGGTTTGTCTCGAGCTCTGGGCGATGTTCCGCATGGTGGGGCCATCGGGATGAAGAAGACTGTTCCACCATCGATCTTCTGCTCGATGTACTTTGCACTCGACTCTTTGGATAGATTCAAAACTATACAAGGTCCAACTCTGTTTTTACACATTTTGTGATCAATGCCTATTGTGATCAATGCCTAACGCTGCAAATCCATGCGACTTCAAGCATTTACTTAACTTACAAGATCCGGCAAACATTTCAAATGCAATTGGCGGAAACCGCTTGACATTTTCATCCAGCTTGCCAGGGTCTTGCCTGGAAAATTTGAAATCATCTGTACAAGATTTGGGCGTGCCTTCAGCTGCCCTGTCCACTTGCGACGCTTCTGCCATCTGCGTGGCTTCTGTGCTCTCGTCGAGCTCGTTGTGTTCGCCCCATTCCTGTGCCACGCCGCGCCGCCCAGTGCTCTCTTCCTCTCACTGATTGCACTGCAGGGCCCCATGGCCCCCCCTCCAGCACTTCATGCAAATGTGAAGTCCTTTCCCACACTTGCCATCTTTCCCAGCCTTACGGCTACCCATCTGCTTCTGACTGCGGCGCTGCCTTTGTCTTCTTGGCTTCTGTCTCCTTGAGCCTCTCCTTCAACTTCTGGTTCTCACGCATCAACTTGCGCTTGCTGGCCGTCGACCCAGTGCTCTCCTGCATTGCTTCTCCATGGTCCTTGCTCGCACTTGCCTTTGCTCCGGGCAATGGCAGCAGCAAAGTGATGAACGCAGGCTCCATGATGACCTTCTCCAGTGCACTGTCAGCCAGGCGCTTCCCAGTTGCATCACGCCCAAGGTCTCCTTGCAGCTCCTCCGCCATCAGCTTGAATGCCCGCCGATCTGCGGCTGCGATCTGTGCCAGCGTGACTCCGGCATATCCCATGGGCGCCTCCCTCTGGTACTCTTGGAACATTTTGTCGATGAGCTTCTCATGGGCTGACGCCTGGTGTATGCCTGCCGAAGCCGAAGGTCCGTCTTCGTGTCCGCCTCTGGCAGCTTTGTCTCATCATGCGCCTTGAGGTGACCTGATGCGTCTTTCTTGATCAACTCCTCGGTCTTCACGTTCAGGAGCTCTTGGTCCCTCGTTGGCACCTCATGGGGGGCAAGGTACCTCAGCTCACCTTCGACCCTCATCGAGTGGCACTTGTCCACCACGTGATGAGCCGGCTCCAACTGATCGGACATCTGCAAGTGCCCATATGTCACCTTCATCTGCATCCAGCGTGTCTTGCGTTCCACTGGAGGCAGCTTTCTTGTTTTGCTTCCATCTGTCTCCTGGGTCCCTTCCAGCCTGCTTCGAAGCTCTGCCGCCACCACTGTGTATTGCGTATGCTTCATGGTACAACTTTCTCAACTTCGGCAGATCAGCGTGATCTCCTCCCCCCAATACAGGAACCACCACTTGATTCACAAAGCTGGTATCGTCTCCAGACCCAGGGGACCAACTGCTGGCGAAGGCAAAGGTTGAAAGGGTGGTCCATCCTCTTCGAGCCATGGCGTCCTTGTACCCCTCCAACCCCATGTCCTTCAACTTCGACTCAAAAACAGCCTGCGACTCCGTCAGCGTCGCCATGCCGCTCCCTGAACCGCGCCGGCCGCTTGATTTGAGCCCACTTTGCCACTTGCATCGACCGCTTCATTATGCCGTCAACCTCAACTTCACCTTGCTTCCACCTCTCAGTCTCTGTTCTGCCTATCATGTTCACAACACAACTACGACTTCGACCGACTGCGCAACACACTCCTCCGGCCCGTCGGTCCTCGCGGAGCCACTTCCATCTTGCAGGACTTCCCTGCACCACTCGACCTGAACCGGACTTCCCGGTCAAACGTCAAGTGCACTTGGGGGAACGACTCCCCTGGATGTGAACATGTCACTGACACTTCACTTGCACTTCCGATGACTCTTTATCACAACTCACTTCAACTCTTCTTACTTACCACTCATTACTTCCCACTTCCCTTCCAACAAACACTTTTCCACTTCGCACTCGCACGGTGTCACTTGGCGTATCCTTGACACACCTTACAGAAACTCCCTAGGCCATAGACTTCCTCCTCCAGTTTGAACATCACTGGAGTTATGGCCCTCCCGCACGCTAGCTTCCCGGGAGTCACACTTCCATGGTGCAGTGTTCCTGTCAAACCATGCCTGTACAAATCGTGGTTCTTCTTCTTGGGTGGACCGATTTTGGCCCTGAGGACAGCTTCCAGGTTTCGTTCATCTGCACTCTCACCGCACTCCTCGTCAGTCTCTTCACTTTCACTTGAAAGCTCCTCCAGACTCACAACGCGGTGCATCTTCTTGTCTGGAGTGGGCACCTCGAGCATGTCCAGCTTCGGCTCACCGCCAGGGACCTCCTCATCCCCCTCCTCGTCCGGACTACCCCAGGCGAGCTTGTGGATGCACCCGGTTCGTCCTCATGCTGCCATCTCTGGTTACGAGGGGCATCCGGGCGAAACTTCAGGTTCCTGATCCTCTCGATGATGCCAGTGAGCGTCTCCAGGCCTTCCGCCAGTGCATCTCTGCTGTAGATCATGACACTCTTGTCCTTTGGCTTCACGTGGTATCCCATGAGCCTCCTCACCTTTTCATGCACCATCATCCAAGACAGTGCGGTCGCTTTCAATGAGTGTGCTCCCACGTTTCCAAGCGAGCTGGTGCCGGAGTACTTCTGAAGAACCTCACACAGCCACACTGTTGCCTCAGGCGTGGCCAGCTTCGCCCTGCTCCAGCCTCCACCTACCACTGGCGTCGGCAGGAAAGGCATCCCCGGCAAGGCTTTCAGCCCTGCCAGGTGCCTCAGCTTCAAAAATTCCTCAGCCCACGCTAAGCCTGACACTCCGACTGCAGGCGCAACCACGGGAAGAACTCGTCGAGCACGTCCTCCGAGTCCATCTGTCTTATGGATGGCCGTGCCACCCTCCAGATATCCTCCAAAGACTTGGGGCTCATTCTCAATCCCTTGGCTGTCTCCCATCCTGAGCCGCCCATACACGCAGAGCAGACAATGCCCTGCAAACAGTCTGTCCTGCGTAGGAAACTCACGGCCAGCCAGCACTGCTTCAAGGGTCATCACCTGGTTCACGGTCAAGGCGTCCCTCTGCTTCAGCACCCGCTTGGTCATATAGCTTCTGTGCGATGAGCCTGCGATCCTGGTACTCTCCAGGACCTCATCCACACCTTCAAGCTGGATCGTCCCCTTGCAGAAAGCCAGGGCTCCTCGGAAACTGGTGGCCCTTGTGGCCGGAGCTCCATCTCTCCTCAACCCATCCACATAGTCGTAGCACTGCGTCTCGATGAGCGGAAAAGCCATCAGCCCTGTTGATCTCGCCCACCTGACATACATCATCATTGCACTCAATCTGACCTGCAGGGTGCCATTCTTCTTGCGGGCAAAGATGTCCTCCAACACCTCTTCACCACTCTGGTCGATCATCTCCGCAGCCTTGCAGCACTTTCTGGCCTCAACCACCCTGAGAACACCTTCTGCCGGTCGTTCGCTTCTGCCTGGTCCCATGGCATTCTCACCCTGTCTGACTTCTTGAAGCTAGCCTGGATCTCCAGCTTCTCATCCTTCGAGCTGCCACTCTTCGCCTCGATCTCGCCTTGCTCCATGGCCCATGCCTTAGTACCTTCTTTGCTCAGACAAGGGGCCTTCATGACTTGGGAGTCTGTCTGCAAAACCAAACCAGCGAATCCTTTTTCCCAGGGCATCTTCAACTCATGTGGGTACTTGTACTTGAGCTTCTTCATCTCGCTTTGAATCATGTCCTCCGCACTTCCACCACTCTCCTGGATGGCCACTCTCTTCTGAGGCCACGCCTGCTCAGCAAGCTTCTTCAAAGCCTCCAGGGGGCTCTCAAACACCATTTCCACATCGGAGTCGTCCACCACCTCAGTTGGAGAACCTGATGCCGGCAGAGGGTCATTGAGCCTCACATCACAGCTCCTCATACTGGTGACTTCTCTGACCCTGTCAGCCAGCTCCTGGAGGCTCTCTTGTGGCTGATCCTCGACGTCATCATCCAGGATTATAGGTCCCCCTCCCGTGTCATCCCCCAGAAAGAGGGGGCTCTCGTCCTCCAAGTCCATGGCCGACAAGAAAATGACACGGTAGGGGACACTTGAAGCCAAAATGGCACACGTACGCAACCGTTTCACAACTAACATTGTTTCACTGTTTCTTCGTTTTCAAAAAGCACCATCATTTCATGACGGTATGCATATATATACAGTAACACCTGGTTTAGATTTTTGGTCCATATGGTTGTACCACTTGCAGCCGTTAGTACAGTATATAGTACATGTAGAATTCCTGACAGTTCTCAAAGGCATTCCAGACCTAAACCATTCAAGGACAACGTAAATAATGATAACATTCTTTCAGACCTAAGCAGTATCGGGCTGAATACCCAAATAATTCTCTCAAAGCACCGGCCCCCATCCACGCGCGTCAATCGTCCGCGCCTTAGCGGCAAAGGCCTGGGTTCCCGTGAGGATATCAAAAAAGATCTCCTCGTCACGAGCCTCAAATCGGCCGCCACATGAGCGTCAGCACCGCAGGGGCTTGGGGGAATCAAAACAAGAGGAGCTGCGAGACGCTGCCAGAGAGTGTGATCCAATGGGTGAAAAATCGTCCGCAAATTGGCCCGTAGTATCTCTGGTGCCCTGGCTGGCCGCACCACCAGCTCAGACCTGGCGGAATGATATGAATCGAGCATGTGGGATTGGCAGGTGGAAGCAAAAGACTGCAAATGACTGCGTCCACGCTAGTAGCTTAAGTAAGGTACTAGTTACTAGTTACCTCTCCCTACTAGCTACGTACTACGTAGTTACCTCTCCCTACTATTTACCTCTCCCTACTAGTCACCTCTACGTACTACGGCCTACGCCCCAACCTAAATTTTAAAAAATAGACTTGTTGGTAGCTCATGCTCTCTAACTGGATGAAAGCTAGTCTGGTGTCATTTGGTCCATGAACGCGCCCGACGCTTCCCAGCAGCCCTCAGCAGCCCTCAGCAGCCTCGCAGCAGTTTCGACCAGCTCTCAGCTCCGCTAAGTCAGCTTGGTGGGAGGCGTCGGATGGGAAATCCCGCTTCGCAGCACAGGATCTTTCTACTAGTAATAAGGACGCTACTAGGGGCTCCTGGCATCGCTACTAGGAACAAGGACGCTACTAGGGCTCCTGGCATCCCTACTAGGAACAAGAATGCTACTAGGGGCTCATGGCATCGCTACCAGGAGCAAGGACGCCACTAGAGGCTCCTGGCATCGCTAATAGGAAGAAGGACGCTAGTAGGGGTTTTGGAATCGCTACTAGGAGGAAGGGCTCCTGGCATTAGGGGCTCCTGGCATCGCTACTAGGAGGAAGGGCTCCTGCCATCGCTAGGAGCAAGGGGCTCCTGGCATCGCTACTAGGAACAAGGACGCCAGTAGGGGCTCATCGCTACTGGGAACAAGGACGCTACTGGCATCGCTACTGGGAGGAAGGGCTCCTGGCATCGCGACTAGGAGCAAGGGGCTCCTGGCATCGCTACTAGGAACAAGAATGCTACTAGGGGCTCCTGCCATACTAGGGGCTCCTGGCATCGCTACTAGGAACAAGGACGCTACTGGCATCGCTACTAGGAACAAGAATGCTACTAGGGGGCTCCTACTAGGTTCCTGGCGTCGCTACTAGGAACAAGGACGCTACTGGCATCGCTACTAGGAGGAAGGGCTCCTGGCATCGCTACTAGGAACAAGGATGCTACTAGAGGCTCCTGGCATCGCTACTAGGAGGAAGGGCTCCTGGCATCGCGACTAGGAGCAAGGGGCTCCTGGCATCGCTACTAGGAACAAGAATGCTACTAGGGGCTCCGGGGCTCCTGCCATACTAGGAACAAGGACGCTACTAGGGGCTCCTGGCATCGCTACTAGGAGCAAGGACGCCACTAGAGGCTCCTGGCATCGCTAATAGGAAGAAGGACGCTAGTAGGGGTTTTGGAATCGCTACTAGGAGGAAGGGCTCCTGGCATCGCTACTAGGAGGAAGGGACTGCTGGCATCGCTACTAGGAACAACAACGCTACTAGGGGCTCCTGGCATCGCTACTAGGATGGAAGGGCTCCTGGCATCGCTGCTAGGAGCAAGGGGCTCCTGCCATCGCTACTAGGAACAAGAATGCTACTAGGGGCTCCTGGCATACTAGGAACAAGGACGCTACTAGGGGCTCCTGGCATCGCTACTAGGAGCAAGGACGCCACTAGGGGCTCCTGGCATATTAGGAACAAGGACGCTACTAGGCGCTCCTGGCATCGCTACTAGGAGCAAGGACGCTACTAGGGGCTCCTGGCATCCCTACTAGGAACAAGGACGCTATTAGGGGCTCCTGGCATCGCTACTAGGAACAATGACGCTAGTAGGAACAAGACGCTACTAGAAGCTCCTGGCATCGCTACTAGGAGCAAGGGCTCCTGGCATCGCTACTAGGAGCAAGGGGCTTGCATCGCTACTAGGAACAATGGCTAGGAACAAGGACGCCAGTAGCTAGTGGCATCGCTACTATAGGAGCAAGGACGCTACTAGGGGCTCCTGGCATCGTCCACGAGCGTGCTTGCTAGTAGGGGCTCCTGGCCTGAAGGACGCCACTAGGGGCTCCTGGCCTTACTCTACTAGAAACAAGGACACTACTAGGGGCTCCTGGCATCGCTACTAGGAGCAAGGACGCTACTAGGACGCTACTAGAGGCTCCTGGCATCGTCCACTAGCGTCCTTGCTAGTAGGGGCTCCTGGCCTGGCATCGGGGCTCCTGGCATCGCTACTAGCAACAAAGAGGCTACTGGGGGCTTCTGGCATCGCTGCTAGGACTAGGAGCAAGGATGCTACTAGGGCTCCTGGCATCGCTACTAGGAGCAAGGACGCTATACTAGGGGCCCCTGCATCGCTAGGAGCAAGGAGGCTAGTAGGGGCTTCCAGCATCGCAACTATAGGAGCAAGGGCGCTACTACGGGCTCCTGGCCTTACTACTAGAAACAAGGACACTACTAGGGGCTCCTGGCATCGCTACTAAAACCAAACACGCTACTAGGGGCCAGGAGCATCGCTACTAGGAGCAACGACGCTACTAGGGGCTCCTGGCATCGCTACAAGGACGCTACTAGGGGCTCCTGGCATCGCTACTAGGAGCAAGGACGCCACTAGGCGCTCCTGGCGTCGGTAGTATGAGGGATCCTCGCATCGCCACGCTACTAGGGGCAGGAGCAAGGACGCTACTAGGGGCTCCTGATCGCTACTAGGAGCAAGGACGCTACCACAGGGGCTCCTGGCATCGCTACTAGGAGCAAGGGGTTCCTGGCATCGCTACTAGGAGCAAGGACGCTACCAGGGGCTCCTGGTACTAGGGGCTCCTGGCATCGCTACTAGGAGCAAGGCTCCTGGCATCGCTACTAGGAGCAAGAACGCTACTAGGGGCTCCTGGCATCACTACTAGGAGCAAGGACGCTACTAGAACCTCCTGGCATCGCTACTAGGAACAAGGGCGCTACTAGGGGCTCCTGGCATCGCTACTAGAAGCAAGGACACTACTAGGGGCTCCTGGCATCGCTACTAGGAGCAAGGACTCCTGGCATCGCTACTAAGAGCACTAGCGCTCCTGGCATCGGAGCAAGGTCGCTACTAGAAGCTCCTCGCATCGCTACTAGGAGCACGGACGGGCTCCTGACATCGCTACTAGGAGCAAGGACGCTACTAGACTAGGGGCTCCTGGCCTTACTACTAGGAACAAGGACGCTACTAGGAACAAGGTGTTCCTTTCAGGAACCGTTCCTTTCATTGTAATAACATCTTTGTGGATGCATAACATCTTTCTGGGCGTAATTATCTTTCAGAGTCATTAGACAAGAAGTTATATACACATGAAAATTCACGTGCCCCGCCGTGTGTAATGTACCCATGAATGGCCTCTTCACCCGTGGTCGCGGGAGCTTCTGCTGTTTCGCACCTCAGCTGCATTGGGAGCCCTTGTAGCGTCCTTGTTCCTAGTAGTAAGATGTAGTAAGGCCATGAGCCCCTAGTAGCTTTTTGCTCCTAGTAGCGATGCCAGGAGCCCCTAGTAGCGTCCTTGCTTTGGAGGAAAAAAATACTAATCTGTGAATGGTCTTCAAGCATTGTGTCAGAATCCAATGGCTCTTGCATTGCTCCATCAGGAGCAAAGCAGAATCATGTAAATTCATGTCAGGGTGTTTCCACTAAGCTGGCAGGGAACGCAGGGACCAAGGAAGAGCATTCAAATCACATGAGTGTTCGTTTGGTAGCTGGGCACTTGAGCTGGCTTTCCGACCAAACTTGCTGGCCTGCAGGAAGGTGATCAATGAGGGGGAGTGATCCCTGGTGCATCAGAACTACATGATCTGGGAATATCTGGGACATCAATGTCTTTGGCTGGTTTGCACTGTTCGGGGCATTGACATCCACGGCATAAGAACTATGCAGGCAACAAGCGAACGGTGCGAGTGTGGCCGCAGAAAAGTACAGCGCATGAGTTCTCCCATTCAGCCACTCCTTCTCGACAAATTCAAGATTCACCAGCTCCTCATTGGCTGGATCTTTTCGCCAAGCCTGCCCGAAGCAGAATGGATAGAACCTTTGAAGAGAGAGAGAGAGAGATTGTCAAACCAGCTTCAGCGCAAGTTTCATGATAAGAACCTGGAAACATTTCTCTCCGCTTCAGTCGCCTCTAGCTCCCGGCGAAAGCGCTCTTGGTCCTGGAGTGGTCACGGTCCAAAGGCCCAGACAAGCAGATGTGCCGTGTCCACTTTTTCCTAAAACTCGCTCCCCTAATAGCAAAGGCCTCCAACCGTGTCCACATCTTGGGTAATTTTAGGAAGGCTACACCCTCTGAAAGCTGGTCAATATTGGATGCCCATCCCGCCGTGGGTCTCATCCTCCGCTGAGCGTGCTTTACTCGGGCTAAGTCAAGTAAGGGAATAAAAACCTCGCTGATCCTCGGATCTGGCTGGTAGTATATACATACCAGTAAATATGTAATATGGTATAAAGTCATCCCAAATCCCTCCGGATGGTGGAGATGACACACCCGGATGATCCCACGATCCACCACCGGTGCGTTGCCAACCTCAGCAGCACGTACTGCGTAGCCCCGCTTCTCCTGGTGAGAACGATCCGATTTCGCCAGCGCCACTCCTCTTCGAATTCGCATGTTTCAGTGATGGTAGCCCGCGAAGTCCTTACAAACCCATTTTGCCTCCAAGATTGGTCCTGTACGCAACGATGGTGAGCCCAAGAAGCTGCATGGAAGCGATCACAAAACCTCCCCTCGAAGCTGTACAGTTGAGGGGCCGTGCATGCTGGCTTGCCCCCTCGGTTTTTCAAGGGCACAAGCTAAGAGCAGCAGCTCAAGGTTGATGCAACGAGAGCAACCAAAGAGGTTAAGTCAAAGATTCATCTCGACAAAGCCAAGTGCAGGCCACTCATCAGGAGCACATGCGGCCAACACTCTTTCCCCAATGTCTCAGAAGACTTAGGACACCGCTGGCGCAGTTGACCAGGCTTGATGGCTTCTTTGCCGTGTCCCAGGGCTTTTGCTCAGTGGGATCGGTCGACAAGACCGACTGCATACTGGGGAGCACAATGCTTGACAGGAAGGTGTTCCGCAAAGAAGCCTTAAGACCAGCTGCAGTGTGCACTTGTCCCATGATTGAGCTTCGGGCTACGACACTCTCACAGTGGGCCTTGCGGCTGCTCTCGTAGAGCTGCAAGCCATCAGACAGGGAGATCTTTGGATTTAACAGGATTTGTCCCAAGCAATAGGCATCATGCATAGCCATGTTGGCACCCTGCCCCATGAAGGGTGCGGTCGCATGGGCGGCATCCCCCAACAGCACTGTTCGACCTTTTGGAGAGATCCAAGTCTCTCGCTCCGGTGACCTGTAGATGCCCCAGTCGAAGCAAACCTCGCTGTTCTCCACGGCCGTTTTGAGCACCGCCAAATCGCCAAGCTGTTGAGCGACCTGCTCGAAGCGCTCACGGACCATGGTGGAGTCCCAACGGTCGGTCACTTCCTCCTTACTCTGCAAAATCAGAGCGCAAATATCATGGCGACTGGAGTCCTGGCCGGCCGTAAGCTCAAGGATACCATATCCGACCCCATCCACTTCCATCCAGTGGATGTTGTTGATGGAGGGGTTTGGTCGGTAAGGCTTCGTGGACACACTGTAGAGCATCCTGAAGCCCGTAAAGATCGGGCTGTCTTTCCCAAAGACCCTCTGCCGAACAAAGCTATGAATTCCATCTGCTGCTACCACCAAGTGTGCGGAGGCTGTTGCTCCGTTCTCAAAGGTCAGCAAGACTTCCTCGTCTCCTTCAACGATATCGGTCACCTTGTGGCCAAGCTTGATGATCTGCGGGGGCAACGAGTCCACCAAAAGCTTCTGCAGATCTGTGCGCATGGCCATGCATCCTGTGAAGTCCAAGGAGCCCAACCTCTTGCCATTGGCACCGAAGTGCACCTGAGTTGGGATGGAGCTGTAGCACTAAGTTAGAGCTACACCAGGTCAAACCACAAACCTTATTATGGCTTGAACAAAAGCTATATCACTCTGCCCCATGGTGCCTGCAGGTCCTGACCATGGTTGGCCACAGCCTCCAGCTTTTCTCCGAGCCCAAAGCTCTTCAGAATGCGCTCGCCGGCTGCCAGCCCTAGCGCACCACCACGGACCTTCCATTGGTCCCAGGCTTCATAGAGGCACACCTGAGGGGACGTTGTCATTCATCGAATCAACATGAGGGAACACGCTAAACTCACCTAACCTCTTGCAATCGGATGCATCTCATCCATCTATATTGTGATCCAAGGAGATATCCAAGGAACTTTAGCTGATTTAAGGTGAGGAGCGCTCTAGTCCTGGACACCCATTGGACGCAGCTCCGGCCTCCACACCTGAGCCTTCCACCAAGGTCTTGGCCAAAGTCAGTCCACCCAATCCAGCGCCGATGATGGCCACTTTCACAGGTGAGGCTTCCATGACTCCAAGCGAGAGGATGTCTTGAGACGTTGAAACTTGGGGGCCAAAATTGCTCAGAACAAACATCACCTCATCTTTATCAAAAGAATTCTAAATATCTTTGCTCTTCATCACCTCTTTTACAATCGAACCTGAATCCTATGGTTACTATGGCATTGTATCAATGAGTTCCATGCTTACAATTACCATGCAAGTAAACATGTATCAGCTGCAATATCTGCAATCAACTGCCTTACTGTCAAACACCTGTTGATTTCGCCAGCGCCACTCCTCGTCGCTCAGCGCGGACCAAGCCTTCTGCAAGGCGACTAGTCGGCCAGCCTTGGGCTGGCGGTGCGGACATTAAAGCAAACATCTCTTTCTCTTCAGCAGCAATCGGTCCTTTCTTGCAATCAATTTTCACAATGCGTGTCCGCCCTTTCTTCAACCACCTGGGATGTAACTGTGGTCCACTTTAGTTGCAATCCCTGAAACCATGGTGAAGTGACCACTGAGTCTCTGACGCTGCGCCGCTGTTTCGCCTGCGGTCTTTGTTCACGGTTGAACATGTCCTGAAAACTGTATGTTTGAAACTGCAAAGGCCACTTGCCTGACACACCTTGTTTCTTCACCGTCGGTTTGAAATTCTATGAGTCAATCCCTGGTAATTACGCAAGATAGCAACTATATATCCCATTTTATTCTTGAAATGTTCTGCAAAGTTCTGACCCAAATGATCCACATCCATTGCAGCTCGGTCTGCCAACGATGCCCTTCACTTGCGGCCTTCTGCGCATCTTCAGCAACGCCTAGCGCTGGGAAAAGTTCACAGCCCCTCCCCTCTCCTTGGTGAAGGACATGTTGCTACAGCTTAGACGCTTAGACCTACTTTACCTCATTTAGATCCCAGTCCCAAACCTTGCGTTGCAAATCCCCTCGAGCGGCGGGACATTGCCTTCTTCACTGGGCACGGGCTCTGGTGCCTCCTCTTCTGGCAAAGCCTGAAAACATATGGCACAGCATGAACCACTAGAAGTGCAATTCGAACTGTCAAAACTAGCCCATACTGTATCTGCTCTGGTGGTTGGCCCTAATGGCTCCTGTAGAGCAGAAAGGTTCCTATACCAATTCTACCAAAATGGGGAGACAGATTTTATGGGAAAGTGTGGAAAAGCAATACAGAAAAAAGCACAGAGAGATGTGAAGTAAGGTTCTAACAATTTCTACCTCCAAGCAGCTTCAAACGACTGAAGGCGACTTCAAGCACCCGACGGACATTTTCGGCTGCTCGGAGCAGAAAAGGCTGTACGCAGAGTTCACCGGCCTAGGAAGCTGAGATAGATCAAAAGCATCCCTTGATAAAGGAGAAAAGTAAAGGTAGGCAGCAAGTTGTAGTGGGGGCTGATTAGTCAAGTCTAGTCTAGGACCAAAAACTGCAAAAGGAAAACTACAGTAGGAACAAAGGGCATCGCTACTAGGTTTTCCTGGCCAGTTTCGCAGATGTTGAGGCTCCAGCCGCTTTGGGAAGTTCTTCGGCGCCCTAAAGGCGGTGGAGACGGTCAACAGGGTAGCCAAAGGGATCCAAAGGGTACAGTATGGTGGCGTCTCAACATATTCTGGGGAGACACTGCACTAATGATTTGATTGTCTGACTGCTTTGTCCTTTGATCCATGGTGCGCTGGCGGGCTCACCCTTTAGCGACACACACCGAAGTGAAACTCTGGAGCAAAGAAAAGGAAGACATGTCCGCTGAGCTTCCATTCTTCCCTCCGCCTCCACGATCCTTTCCAAATCCAAAAGGTGAATCTAGAGCATCTCGAGCATCTAGACTTCTTTCAACGCCAACTCACACTCATCGCACCTCTTCTTTGATACGAGCTTTTTTGGAGGCTCCTCCGATCCTCAAAGGTTCATGATCCAAGGTACTGACGGCTTCAAGCCCAAGAGAAGCAACAACCGTGGCTTTGTCTCAGACTCTCAAATGTCTATTTTTGCATCGTAAGTGAGTTACCTTCGATCGTGCGATGCATTCCTTGAGCAGCGTCAACCTCAGGTCACCAATGTTAACCTGGGTAGCTGTAGTCCCACAAAATGAAACAACATCAACATGAATCCATCGCCGAATCTCAGGCTCTCATTCATCTTCACATGCTTGACACCACGACAGCTCAGGGTCCAAGCGGTTCAGCTTCCGCTCCAACGTGCTGCGGCGCTTCTCTAAGAGTGCCTGGAGCTTGAGAAAATGAGGTGCCAAGTTACCTGAACCTGGCTTCATCAAAAGTTTCAAACGATACCTGAACATCGAGGCACATATCCCTTTTGTTGGATTTTGAAGTCCGGATAAAACCTTGAAAAAATTGTCAAAAAATGTCAAAAGGAAAGGGCAAGCTCTTTTGGCCGTCAAGTTTCAGCCGTGGGAGCTCCTTTCACAGCCCTTTCATGGCCTGCAAGGCAGGCTCAGGCTTGCCCAGCTGGGCTCGCTCTTCTCGCCATTCCTCGTACCTTGTTTCGGACCGGCGTTGAAAGTCGGAAGGGGAAGCAAACCGGGTAACAGTTGGAAGAGTCGATCGGACAAAAATGACAGTCAAATCAGCACACAAAAATGACAAAGAAAATGCACAACTCCAATTGCGATCCAAAGGAACCGAGCAAGGTAGGGCATTGCAGGGATGATCATCGGCAATCCAAGGCACAGGAAACAAACAGCACAATGGCATAGGAAGAACCAGCATCACCAGCAAGGCCATCACTAGTAGGTTGGAGGCCATAGCTCTTGGGGTGGAGGCCATCGCTATTAGGTTGGAGGCCATCACTACTAGGGCACCTTGCTGTCTTGAAGGCCCAGACTCCTCCAGGGTCCTCCAGGGTCCTCCAGAGTCCTCTAGAGTCATCTCTGAGCCTATGGCTCACGCTCGAATCGGCGCCGATCCTCTTCGGCCAGTTGGATGAAACGGCCCCGCTCCTGCATTTCAGAACCGCCCAGGCCGGACTTGGCAGTCCTTGACTCAGAAGGTCCACCAACATCTGTCCAGAAGGTCCACTTGGTGTTTTGGCTCAAACCAAGGGCTCGCAGGCCTCGTCTGACATAGCCTTCCAGCGTGTCACCAGTTCGGGCAGCGAGGGCTCCTGGACATTCGGGTGTTGAAAGTGTTTAAACATCCAAACAACCAAATCGTCCAAATGAAATCTTTGATGTACCTGCCATCTGCCGCCAAAGAAAAACATGTGTGTTTGTTTCTCAGACCACACCCTTCCGGATGTGCACAAGTATCAAGCAACAGTCCGGTCATTCGACGGTGCAAGCCATCTCCTCCTCCTCGTCGTTCTCCTTGACCTCCTCTCGGAACTTTTCAAAGGCAAACTGCCTGGGCTGGATTGGAGAGAGCGTGCCAAAGCAGCGATTGGACTCTGGATGTTTTGCGAGGAACTGTGGCTTCGTGTTTGAAACGCTTCAACAATTGCTGTTGGGGCATGGATGTCTTCAAGAAGCTGGAGCAAACCTGCATCTGTCCTTCAACCTTGGGCCTCCGGCGGCAACTTTGGCTTGCGCAGTTTGCCTCTAGGAGCTGCCTGCAGGAAACAAAGACCGGCAGCCGCCCTAGAGTTTGAATGGCTGGGGCTGCTCAACTGCATGCTTGTCATGGCTCAGGAGGTTTGGTTTTCAATGGCTTTCAGCATACTAGTGTGGACATCTAGGGCCACCAAGTCTTCCATCCTAAAATACAGCGTTGGAGTGGACATATTTGCTTGTACCATCTAGTTTAGACAGCTGTCAGGGCTAAAACATGCCTGTATAGTAAACCTGCCACATCTGCCACATCTGCCCACCTTGGCCTTGGCTCGCTTTCGCTTCACCTCGCGACGCAGAAGCTTCAGCGAAGCTTCAAACAAAACGGCCGGTGAATCTTGGTGATTTACATGCTGCACCTCAGGCCGAGTTCAGAGATTCAAGACGAGACTGTTTGCACTCCTTGAAGTGCCGCCATCCACCAAAATCACCCTGGTCTTGAACACAGGCGGAGCAAGAACGTGGACGGTGGTCGTTTGCAAAGACCAATATTCCTTTACGAGTATGGATGAGAAGTGGTTGCAACAAAAGATATTTCTTTTATCTTCTTTTCTAGCATGTCGCAAATCTCTGTGAAACCAAGACTCTAGTCAAGCAATCAATAGGAGCAAGGACGCTACTAGAGGCTCCTGGCCTTACTACTAGGAACAAGAAGCTAAGAAGCTATATACTAGGAACAAAGTCGCTACTAGGAGCAAGGACGCTACTAGGGGCTCCTGGCCTTACTACTAGGAACAAGAAGCTACTAGTAACAAAGCGCATCGCTACTAGGAGCAAGGACGCTACTAGGACCGACTACTGTGTCCAAGCAACCTTCCTGGCCCAGCCCGCACCCCTAGCTCCGCGCAAGGCCTTCACCTTCTCTTCCTTGCACTCGACCTCTGTCAGGTCCGGGGTCCAACGAGTCCACCCTTCCGTTGGGGTGTCTGAGGAAATGCCTTTGACATCTCTGATCTTACTATTAGCTTCTTATTACTAGTAGTATGGCCAAGAGCTACTAGCAGTTTCCTGCTCCTAGTGGCGATGCCCTTTGTTACTAGTAGCTTCTTGTTACATGTCTGAGGAAATGCCTTTGACTGGTGAATATGGACACTTAGAAACCCGAACTCTCCCACCTCTCGACGGGATACATCCATGCTAACATGGCCAATGGATATATGCCACATGAAATAAAAATCATGATAATCTGAGAAGTGCTGGAAATAACAAGATCGGCATCGAAGTCCATCGAAATAACATGATCGCGTTGATCTTCAGGCGCTTTTCATGACTTCACGGAGGTTTTTTTCTGTGGATGGACGAACACGGGTCCATCATCCAATTCACAAACCCCAAAATCGCCGCATCCCACAGTCCTGGTCTGCCAGGACCACTTGCATGCTCACCTGGACACAGGTTAACCTTCAAAAAAAGGAACGACATTGGCTTGCAATATTCTAGTCTACAACAGTTAATTAAACAGGAGTTCACGAGTTAATCTTGTATGGTTTCCATTGTCCTCCACTAGGAGATGCAAACACAAGGAGCACCGCTCACCGACCAAACACTGTCTCCATTGCCAACTTGTTTTGCTGATTCTGTGCTACACAACCTATAATCACTTCTGCCTCGCAAACATCATCACTAACCAACTCTTAACCTACCATGACAAAATATCGAAGCCTCTTCAATCTCATCGTCTTCATCATCTTCTTCTTCTTCTTTCACCTCGCCAGCTGGTGCTGCAGCTGGTCCGTCCTGCAGAAGGTCCGACTTCACAGGACCGCAGCAATTCACCGGTCTTGCATGTGGCATGTGCCATCATGTGTATGCATGTGCAAGAGTTGCATGCCAAGCTGAGTCCAGGAAACAATCAATAGCTAAAGGTATCGAACGTACAAACCATTTTGGAGACATTCATCCAGCAGCTCAGCAGCTCAGCATTTGTCCACGCGACTCTAACTACAGCGGTCGGATGTCGATTCGGTCGGATGCTTGGGATGGTCTTTGAGGTGAAGGGAAAACAGATGACGTTGAAGAAGAACAAGAAGAGGACACATGCCCAAAAAATACAGATGTGAGTCGCATCAGAGCTGGATTCGGCTGAAGGACTCAATCCCTGTCAATGCGCAAAGGAACGCCTCAACGATGCGGATTGGCCTAATTACATGCATAAATATGCGGAAGCCTGAGCTCGTTTTCACACTCAGATGAGTCGGATGAGTGTCATCATCTTCATCTCCAAAATCTGAGAGGGAGTATAGGTGGGCTTTTTCAAAATCTACATCGATGAACCTGTAGTAACAAGAATCTATTAGTAACAAGTGCATCGCTTCTAGCAACAAGTGCCTTACTAGTAGTAACAAGAAGCTAGTAGTAACATATATTTTGTATATATACTTCAAAATAAACCGAATGTTTGGCACGCAACGACCTGTTGCCAGCAACGATGTGGCTTCGGTGAAGCATCGAAGTGCATGATGAGTGGAGGGGGTGTTTGAACGGGGGGGTAGGCAGTGAAAAAGGGAGGGGGCCTCTCCTACCACAAGCTCGAACCTGACGTGAACATTGCCCTGAGTGATCATTGCCCTGAGCCACTTAGACTGTCGGCGTAGCTCGAAGGATTGGGTTGATACTTGTGCTGAAAAATGCTTGAGCCACCCCGCAATTCAAGTTCAGGTGCTCTGAATGCATTGAAAATGTGATTTCTACTGTCCAAGCATTGCGTTGCTTCGTCTCTTTGAACCTTCTCCCGTTCGGCCTGTGACTTGCGCAAACGCTTCATGGCACCTCAACCAGGAGGACGAGCAAGAAACACGAGAAGGCACAATGGCATAGCATGCCATAGAAGGCTCAAGTCCTCAAGTTTGGAGGAACTAGGCAACTCATCCACCTTGAGCACCTTTAACTCATCCCAACAGTGAGTCCCTCAGTCTGCTGTTCCGATCACGAAAAACATGGACGGGGCTGCGCTGATCAACTACCACAGGCACGAATCAAAAGAAGAGTTCTTTGCTGTTGGCTTCAGCTGGTCACAAATACCACATGGTGATAATCATCAGGGGTAATTAGTTTGTGGGCCACATGGAAGGTCTCTTCCGCTCAACAACTTTCTGGCTCACCGGGGGGTGCCTCCGCGCCGCAGCACTGCGCTCAAACATGGAAGCTGTGAGACTAGCTTCCAGCGATGGGGATGGACTTTCTAGTCAGTGCGACAAAGAAATGTACAGCTTGAGAGGGTGTACTAAAGTGTACTAGTCAGTGCGGAACTCGATCACCCCGAGTTCTGCTTGGTGGGTCAATTATTAGGTGAAGCAAGCATGCGACGCAAAAGCCGAGAACGTCCATGCCACTTTTGGTATGAAGCTTGGTATGAAATGTTTGCAAATCTTCTGGTAGATTGAGTCAATGCTTGTAAATCTTTTGACCTGCAATGGCAATGGTGAAGTCTGTTGATGGTGCTCTGCAAAATGATCCGCTATTGTATATCGATATATATTATAATATTATGTATACATACACATATTATTAGATGTATATAACTAATATAGCAAGCTGAGCACAAACAAAAGGATCATATCACAATAAAGTCCGTCATGTTCGTCAAACCCTCAACGAGCAGAATCTGTCCATCTTTGTTCTTGCTGTTCTTAGAAGACAGTGAGAAAGCCGCTCTGCATGAGGAGCAGCACGCATGATCACATGATCTTTTCTAGTGCAAAATGCGGATGCAACGTCCTTCTGGGACAAAGCCTCTTACAATGTCCTGAACTTGCTAAGATGATCCAGAGCTAGGTCGGAAATGCATCGCCTGGGACCTTCTCGGGACTATTCGGATCATTTGGACCCTTCACAGGTCAAGGAGACAACCGCCCTGTGACAGGGTCAAAATGCATACAACTCAGTTGCCAAAAATATCTACCATTTCCAACCCCAAGTGGACCATCTTGAACCGTCACTCTTCCTCGGTCGAACGCTTTGTACAACTGGAGCTGCCGCGGAGCAGCTGGTGCGGTGCGTCTTTTCGAATCCAAAAAGAACAGTTGTTGTTTCTTCGGTTTTTACGGCCGTTCACCGATGTTAACAGTTGATGCGCCAATTCCCACTCCCAGAGTGAATAGTGAATCAACCTTCCACACATTCTTGGTGACTAGGTCCACTGCCTCCCTGACTTCCCCAGTGCCTCGTGACAGCACCTTTCAGCGAATATGATGGATGTGCCAAGCTCGGCGCTCCATCTTCGGTCACCAAGCAACTCACATCCTCTTCTTGTCGCCGAAATCCTCTGACACAAACGGAGGAGCCAGGTTCTCTTGCATTGATGGGATGGTATATGGCATGTTGATGCATGTTGTGATCAAGCTGGTTTGCTTGCAAGTCTCGCATTGCCACATCTTTGCCAACCGCCCCTGTTTGACTTATGCACTGTACTGTGGACCAAGCGGACTTTCGTCACATTTGATGGCAGCATAGCGATCCAGCAAAACCCCAAGTGTGGTGTCAGTTCGGTGGGAAGACCTTCTCTTTCGCAGGATCTGATTGGCATTCCCGGTTCACCACCGCACCGAAAGTCCAGTAGAGTCGCCCCCTAGAAAGTCGGTTGCTGCAGGACACGGACACCCCGAGTGTCGACTGATGCCTCCAACGAGATGCTTCTCTCGCTGAGGTGCCCGGCCATGGACGAGAGGTTGGATTGCAAGTCGCGTGCTTGGCCCGTTCGCCTGGACGGGTCGGAGGTGTGACAGGCACGAGAAGAACCAACACAACCCGGAAGGCTAGTGGTGATGGCGGCCTGCAGGGCTCTGGCGGCTCTGGGTTCTCTCAAGAGTGTACTTTGGGTCTGTGCTCTTAGATTCCTATCAACTTGACTCAGATGCCACATCCTGTGTATCTTCAGACATGATCATCAGTTGGAGAATTTCGGAAGATTGAAAAGCCAAGAGAAGAGAGGTTGCCCTCCAGCTTGCTAGATTGCCACCACAACATAGGTCCTTAGTCCCCTTGCAAATCTGCAGGTGACTATTTTCAAGTGCCTGCAGAAAGTTTGTTCTGTAAGGGCCAGGCTCAGACTCCTTGATTGCGTCACATGTGCGGGGGCATGGACCATTCAAAAAGGCTTTCCACTAACAAGCAACCTGCGCCACAGCGCGCTGCACACAGCCTGTAGTAGGTGCCGATCTTGATGATCATGCCAAACCAATACATGTGCAACAGGAAGATGGTGAACTTGGCGGAAACGCCACGCTCAAACAGCGGCAAAAAAAAACTCCATAGCCAGGCTGAAAGTTTTGGGATGATCAAGCTGTGCATCCAGAACCAGCAGGTTGAACAGATTCTCGAAAATGCCAGATGAGCAATTCTCAAACAAAAAAAACTTACTGACTTGGGTGGCTTTAAAAACTACGGTACCTCCACCAAAGAAACATCAAAAGAATGAGTCAAATGTGTGGGGAAATCTAGTAGCGCCAGTAGCGCCACACATGTGCACAAAAACCCTTTTGAGGAACTGCGGGAACTTTGAGGTGCCTTTTACCGTGTCCCTACCTTCTTGGCCACCCGGCCAAACCAAAGTTCATGAAGCCCCAGGAGATGATTTTCTCCGGCCGGGCCTCGACTGCGTGGAGTGCTTCGGCGGAACAGCGGGGAACGCGCGCGGAACTGCGGGGAAATGCAGTAGTTGCTCGGTTGGACATGAGATGTTGCATATGACACGCAGTTAGATGTCTAGGAGAATGCTTCCAGGATTCAACGGCTGATCGGGCATCTCAGAGAAGCCTCGAAGCTAGTAGCCCCCCAAGGGCTCAAGCCTCTTTTGCACCCTCATTTTCCCTTCCGAGCTGAGCTACCGGCCTCAGGTATGCTCTCCACCCAAACACTCCACATGATGGAGATGGGGAAAACCAAAATTCTAAACCTGGCATTTTTGTGTGGCGGAATCTCATCTCTGAGAAACTTGCCACAGCTAGAGTAAAGCCTCTTTTCCGACAGTGCTGCAGCTTGTACTTGCAAAGGGGTTGAGGGATTGCAGGTATGAAAGGCTTCATCTCCAGGGTTCTCCTCTAATTAGGCCCATTTTTTGTGCCCACTTTGTCAACTCAAGGCAAGACGCAACAAAAGATGCCACACAGCACCCTGATCCAAGAAAGGACATCCATCAAACCCTGTCTAAGGGCATCAGCACTTGTCCGCTTCATGTCTCATCTGTGCGTCATTGAATCATACTCGAGATCGTAGTAGCGATGCCAGGAGCCCCTAGAAGCTTCTTGCTCCTACAAGTACCAAAGCATGCCGAAGTCTCCACACATAAGAAACCACCAGGGCAAAATAGGAGGCGACGATGGCCCGGGCGTTTGCCGTATCCACCAACGCCTGCATTCAGCAAAAGCCAGCGCATCATGATCTATTGCCTTTGTCTGTTCTGGATACTGTACATCCTTCTGATGTATTTTCGGGGGACTCCATGTTATGAGACACCAATGTACTTGGGGCCTTGACTTCTTTTTTGAGAACTCTGGTCTTGGAGCAATTGAATTCCCGGTGAGCCAACCAGTAGGGGGAACTGACACTGTTCCTGGTCCTGCTCATCCATCTTCGCAGATCACAGCCCAAACCGCTTTTCTCTTGCAAACAAAAGTCTCAAAAGACCCCACGCTTAGGGATTCTTGTTCCTAGTAATGCCAGGAGCTACTAGTAGCTTCTTGTTCCTAGTAGCGATGCCCTTTGTTACTAGTAGCTTCTTGTTCCTAGTAGTAATGCCAGGAGCTACTAATAGTGTCCTTGCTCCTAGTAGCCCTCAAACCACAGCAAAATATCGAAGGCCTTGGACAAATTGATGAAAATGTCCGTGATCCCATGCAAGAGCAGCACTAAGCTTCCTATGCCTTGGGCGACTCAGTAAGCCAAAGCCGCAAGGCAAGCAAGGCGGGTGCGTTTTGCTCTGAAGCTTCAATGTTCAACAGATTGTGGGGTATTAGAGGCTAGCCCAAGTGAAAATGAGTAAGAATGACACTTTGCAATATCAGTGCAAGACCATGATAAAGGACGGAAATATCCACAAATTCCACAAGCAAAAAGAGTTATTTAATTTTGAAAAGGTCTACGCCGCACCTAACAAATCAAAAGAATCACAAACCTACAATAGCCAGTGCAGTGAATGACAGTTTTATAATTTTTGAGCTGAAAGTCATCCCTCGATCAAAGGTCACAGGAGTGCTGTTGCTGGCGAGACTGCGAGATAAGTCTCGGGCGAAGGTAGTTGAAGCTAAAGGAAAAGACAACTAGACAGCACCTGAGACGCTACATGAAGAAAAGTGATGGTCATGGACAAGAATCCTCAAAATTGCCTGGGCATGCCATTGAATCCTTGAGGACTTGGGATAAAACTAAACTAATGCTGCAAAGCATGACTGGACTCTGAGTGAAGTGCCTGATTGTAATTGGATTGTACGGCTGCTCAAAGTTTTACTGTTGTAGGTCCAAGAAAAATCTAAACCTGTATATTCTTGCTACTAGTAGTTTCTTGCTACTAGTAGCGATGCACCTTGTTACTAATTCCAAGCCCATTCACAACCAGTCTCGTCTCGCGCTGCTTCGAGGCCCACACGTCACTAGGTGATGCAACATCATCTCCCAGAAATCCGGATGCCTCTCCTATCCAGGCTCGATTGGGAGTGCGCTGGACGGCGTCCTCTGACATAGCTCTGCAAAGGAAGGACTTCTAAGGCAAAGGAGGCTGCTGGAAGCCACCAATGAACACATTCTGTGTGCAATCACATCCGCAAAGTACTTCATGCAGCAGGGGCAGCCCGACAAAATATGCCGACTCAAAACGAAATAGACCTCCCGCTGCCCTTGCCTCTAGAAGAAGCATCAATACCTCAGACATAAACGGAGCTGGGTTTACAAAAAGGTCGAGGTGCTAAAAACATGTTATATATGTAAGGGCCCCTTTAAAGGGGTGCCCTCACCGTTTTGTTCATATCTGCTTTTAGACCCCACGCGTAGATGCTCCCAAACACAGGATGGTTCATCAATGGCATTTGCTATGACGATGGAATTGCCCAGCCCTTGAATGCTGCAAACGCCCACCTCGCTACAGTGGTAGCCCACGGCTGTGAGATAGAAGCGTCTCAAATCAGATGAGACCTCCTCAGTTCACAGAAGGCCATTGAAGGCCATTGAAGGCCATGAAAAGATCGAATCAAGACACATCAAGAAACTCTTCTGAGGTCTTCTGTCCGAGCTTTCTGCTATAGTCATCGAAAGTCATCGACAAACTCTTCAATGTCAATGCGACGTTCCATCTTGCCCTTGCATTTAGTGAATTCTACTCATTTGCTTGAAAAATCTGGACCATGTTGTTTCGTTAGAGGAGACTTCAACCTGTCCAGCAAGAAACACCACAAGACTCGGCCAAAGCTACAACACCATGATCCCTCCATCCCATCCTCCTGTCGGTCACCCTCTCCTGAAAGGGGTACCCCGTCCAGCAGAACTTGGTCGCACCACGCCCACCCAAAAGTCGAGGTAGCCAGGGCTCATCTGGCGACCCCGAACATGGCGAGGCTTTGTGAAACATGATCCTTTTTCAAAGAACGTCAGCACCCTGTTGGACGGATCAACTCCTTTGGAAAAACACTGGAATGGTCATACGGTCATGGACTGCTCCTTCTCAGCCACTAGTCACTACAGGCCCTCGAGCCGCCCGCCCTGCAGTGCTGTACGCGCAGCGAAGGTCCGCGTCGCCTTTCAGCAAGGCGAAACACCAGGTGGTCATGGCACAATAGTACGCGCACCTGGGCGAGGGAGTGCGTCCCTGGCACAGGCGCTACCCAGCTGGTGTTTGGCCAATGCGAGCCAAATGCCAACACCGAGAGAAGGCCTGGCATCATTGTTGCGTTGTTCCGAAGGTTCGGGGCAGAGTTAACATGTCAATAGATTTGAAGAGGAGGCCCCACGTTACATGCTGATAATTAGAGATGACACGCAAAGTTAGAGCAACAGTCAAAGGATGCTGTTGCATGCTTGCCGCTGCGGTTGACTCTCCTGAAACTACCGTCCCACCCTGCCACCCTAGGCTTTCGGCTTGAAGATTGAGTCGCAACAACGTGTCACCTGCCAAGCCATATCAACACTGGCAACTGCAAAGAAGTGACCTTGACATCTTATCTGATATCCATCTGCGAGACATGAAGTGGCTCCATGGCATTGGGTTTCTTGTTTTGCTGCAAGGACGGGCCCTACGATGTTGCGCGCGCACGCGCACGCATCTATGTCACAGCGATGTTCAAAGGCAGCATTCTGTCAGAAATCCCATCGTTGCAAAGGTTGGGATGGTCTCAAACAACAGAGGTGACCTCCAGTCTTGATCTTCATTTGAACTGATCATGAGTTAGGCCAAAGGACCAGCACGTCTCTCACTTGCTGGGCTAAGCGACTAAACACCATCATGGCCCTTCTATTCCCTAAGCCCTCAAGGCAATAGCAGGTGCTCCAGACGTCTTTCCACCTCAAAGGTATGCGAGATCAGGCCCTTTTGGGCCAATATGGGCCAATTGATGTGGTGTGAAACTGGGATAGTTCTTAAACTTTCACGAAGGATCTATGGATTTGCAGAGCCTCAACAGATTTTGAGCTGCCATTGCTTATCACCTCTCATCTTTGACATGCTTTATGTCTGTAAAGTGAAGAGTGAGAGAGAGTCTGCACCAAAGACCCATCAAGGACCTGCCTTCAAGGGCCCTTCACGGCATAAAAAATACATAGACAGGGAAGTTGAGTCCATCAAGAGCCTGGCGCTCCCAACGGCACCCCTCCCCCAGCGGCTTCAGGGTGTCGGGATGCATGGGAGCCACCCTCGAAAATCGCTTGCCATCGATGTTGATCTCGCCCTCTCCCCATCCCGGTGGTCGACCATTGCGAAAACTTTCCCTGGCAGCGGCGCAGTCCCGATGGAACGATCGTGCAAACCGAGCGATTTCGCACCTGAGACGAATCGGACGCAAGTCGTCGAAAACAAATGCTGCTTGGCACAGGTAAGTCTCCGCTTGAGGCCGTACTTGTCAGCAGCAGCATCGCTGAGCTCTGAAGAGCCTGCGCCATAGTCATCCACCCAGAACTCAGCTGGCACCAAGCTGTGTGCGGCGACCATTGAAGGCATTGCTGAATTTCCCCCTTCAAATCAACAGGACAATCAGCCCTCGATTCTTGTTGTGAGACATAAACCATTCATACTGTCGTTGGATCTTACACACTTGACACACAAAGAATAGCTTCTTGAGCCGCATGTTGTCGGCCAAAAGAAAGGGCTTCACCGGATTTACCCTTCAAAGCGGTTCCCCATTTTTCACCACAGATCTGAGATCTAGAGCACTTCGTACTTCCACTCCAAGCGACAGGTAAATAGATATTGGAAACAGCACAGCAGATCACAGCTCCTTCTTCGCGCCGACGTTTCACTTCCCTCAGCCAGTGGCAGCACCAGCCTTAGAGCAGATCAGGGTGCAGTCTGCACGCAAGGGTCCTAAGACTGGGATCAAACCAGGACTAGACCACCAAACTGGCACCAGCAGGTCTAGTCGTCGTCACCGGAGGAGCAAATGAGTTCTGTCAGGTGGCATGGATGATGTGAACCAACTTCCGCTTGCACCTTCTTGCTGCGCGACTCCACCAGGCAGTTCCACATGGGATGTCTCCCCTCGGGCGGGGGCACCGGCACCAAATCACGGCCGCACTCTTCGCTGGGATGAACCCACTCACCATTGTCGGCAGAGAAGCCGAAAACGGGCATTTCGTCAAACCACACCGTGGCAGTGCCTAAGAGAAGCTAACAACGGTGGTGGTGAATAAATCATATCAATATCAGTCCTCAAACAAAACACAACTAAATTCACCATTCACCCTCTTAGCGCTTGTCAAACTTTGAGTCAAGAGATTGTACAAGGCCTAGAGTGCACTTTAAAGTTCTTCCATGAAAATGTTGGCCGAATTGTCTAAGAGAGTTGAAATGTCCTGACCAGCCACCGCCCGTCTTTTCCCTCAACTTTTCCATGACGTACTGGTAAGCAGGGCCTCCAGGTACAGAAGCACCTGTGGCAACGAAGGATTCTCTCATCTCAGCAGAGCAGTTGTAACTCTGATAGTATGTAAAAACCAATCCTGTCCCAGCAAGACGGTCAATCTCATTGCAGAGCTCTTCATCTCCTTTCAGCTTGGGGCAGAAGTTCAGTAACCAGGAGGCCTTAGTGGCCTTCACCGCTTGCAGCAGGAACTCCCTGTCGCTCCGAATGTTCTCAGAGGCGAACCGCAAGGCAATGCCATTCTCGAGCACTGCTGTCATCACGATCTCCCGGTCGTTCTGTAAGTCGGGTGTGGCAAACTGCAAGGCTTTGCCGTACTGCTTCACAGCGGCCAGCACAATGTCGCGGTCTCCCTTCAGCCTTTCCGACGCGAAAACCAATGCCATCCCTGACAGGCCCTTCTGTTTCAGAGCAGCAAGAACGATGTCCTTGTCGTTTCTGAACTTTGTCGGAGCATCCTTCAATGCCAAACCGTTCTCTTCCACTTCGTGTAGCCACTTCATCTTCTCATTGCTCGCCTCGGCGTGGATCGGAACCCGGGATCAAAGTGGCAAGCTGCAAACCACTGAACCACCCTCTAGATGGTGTTCTTCGCCTAGGTGTTGTTCCAGCCCAATCATGCTATGTTGCTCTAGAAGACGACAAAAAAGAAGGTAAGGGCTCCTTTAACGAGGCCCTTACCTTAAAGAGAGGGCCTGATTAAAACTGATTCAAGGACCCTGACCCTCTTTTGTTATTCTCGCTTCCTGCAAAGCAACAACCAAACACCACCTCGACAACCTTGCTGAGCTCTCAAAGTGAAGACTTCACGAAAGACATCCAAATGCTAGCTACAAGCCAATGGAAGACTGTCTACCACGGAAAACCAAGAAATGGAATATATTGCATGTGTGTAATCAATCGGTTGAGAGGTTGCCTTAGATGGTCATTGAGGTGCCTGTTGCATCCTTTCGTTGTAGAGTGTGCTTTACGAACAAACAAACTTCATCTGGCTGGCCCCTGGCGATGCATACTTCTCTGCCTTGGAGATAGCTCAGAAGAAAGGCAAACCGAGCATGATCCATCTCATATTGTAGTATGTGTTCCAAAGGTGTGAAAAAATGCCTGTGACGACTATTTTGACGGGTGTGGATCAACAGGCTGATCAAGCAAACCCAGTTGAGGCCCCAGCACTGGCGCCACAACCCATTGTAGCAGCCAAAGTTCGAGCCCAAAAAATTGCGCTGTCGTGCAACGGCAAACTTGTCCAGCAGAGGAATGAATTGGCTTCTGTCTGCTGCGATTGGGTCGTACTGGACAAGAGTCTTCCACAGGTTCCATATCTACATGTTTCCCACAAATCTTCAGTTTACTTCAGACATGCCGCTATTGTCAGAAAGACCCTGCAAAGCTTGCTTTTGAAGAACCATCGCAATGCTCTGACTTGCTATATAGCCTATTTTAGCCTTTAGCGGTGCCGCATTCAGGCCCTTACAGTGGTTGAAAAGGCTTACAGTAGGGTTTGCAATTGGTCCTGGAATTAATTTTGGAACTGTTGTCGTTCTATGTTTGGATGTTTTCTTGTTTTTGTTGGTGCTGGCATAGGTGGAAATGCACGCTTTGGGAAGCAGGGAGCGCTGAACAAGGCAAAACGGGTACTGAGCAAAACGCTGCTGACGCAGGATGACAAGACCTACGCACAAACTACCTGCCGATCCTTCTTGGGGGGAGGCCACATAAACAAAGCCAGGGGCCCGGACTAGCATTTGGGATCATAACATAAGCAATTCATTAAATTTCTCACCTGGCTGTAAACCATAATTGTTTTTGTGCAAAAGAGCATACAGGCAACAAATAACAATGAGCAAAAGGAAACGCAAGAAACAAGCAACAAGCAACAAGGAAAAGAAGGCAACAGCGGACCAGGGGACCAGGGGACCAGGGGACTAGGGGACCAGGGCCAAGATTTGGGCTCATAGACATAAGCAACAAGATTGATGATACATTATTGTTTTTTGACGCATGTGCCCTAGGAGGGAGCAAGGACCTATATATGTAGGACCAGAAGGACAGGGGACCAACCAAGGGACCAGGGGACCAAGGGACCACCGGACCAGGGGAGGACCAAGGGACCAGGGGACAAGCACAGAAATGCAGGAAAAGCGGAGAAGCAGTGAGAAGCAAGGAAAAGCAACACAAGCACGGAAAAAACAATACAAAATGCAAAAAAAGAAATATACACCTCCTTCACAATTTCAAAGACGGCACATGGACAATGAGGGTCCTTGACAAGGATAGGATCGTGAGACATGATATGGACAAAAGTCTTCGGTTTTGGAGCCCCTGGAAGTAAAAATCTATTTCAATTATCTTCCAGCTTCACCCATTTTTCCCACACCTTAGTTAGTCCCATCAAGTCTGCAAGTTGCACGTCCGGCCTTGGCGCCCCAGACGTTGTGAGACCACCGGGGCTTTTTGGGGATCATTGCACGCGCGGCCTTGGCGGAGGACTGCTCTGATCGGGGCCCCTTAACCCCGCGTTCTTAGTACTCAGAATCTTTCAGAATGTATATAGATGGGGTTGGCCGCTTCTCTGGCTAGAGCAGTTGAATGGACAAGTGCCCAATTCACTGGCAGCAAGAAGCCAGTAGTAGCTCTTGGCCTCACTACTAGGAGCAAGAAGCTACTAGGAGCAAAGGGCACTCCTACAGGAGCAAGGACGCTACTAGGAGTGCCAAATTCGGATTGGACCTGAGCTCTTTGCCACTGCGAACAGCTGTCGAAACAGCAGCTGCGCGATTAGCATCCCTGGCGAGGAATGAAGGGAGCGGGGAGAGGAGTTCGGCGATCGGCAAGCTGTAAGGACTAATCTTAACTTTATGAACCGTGCAAATACAGCTTTCGTCACACCAATGAGGATAAGTCAAGCTCACTTGCTTGAATGAATTGGAATCCCCAAAGGAGGTTGCTCACCTACAGTGTTAATAAGCTATTGTAGCTATTCAGTTCTACCATCCTTTTACGTGCACACACACACAAAGAAGCCTATGTGAAAAGACTACCTGAGTAAACCAGCTAATATATGATAATAATTGGTAATATGCAATGCGGTCCGACCATCTCAAAAGTTCCAAAACTACAGCTCGAGCAATCGAGTCCAAAGGTTCGAATATCCAAGGCCCAAGATTTAGCCAAGTTATCACTGCAGGCACGCCAGACTGATCGGGTCTGGTTTCACCACCAACTGCAAGCATCTTCGTTGGCAGGCATGACACTTAGTGGGAAAGACTCGACATTAAAGTGGATTTCACAGCCTGCACAGCAGCCCACTCCCAGGAGGACGTCGTCACTGGTTCCCGCCTTGGAGGCCAGAGCCCAAGGCGACCAAGTGTGAGGTCTTTCCCTAAAAATGAATGGGTCGGCCCCCAACCTCACATGCAACTCCACTAAGTCTGATTTTGTTGATGTCCAAAGCATGCTCTGTGACACTCGCAGGACCTGCCTGTGCAGTAGGATTTTTCAGGTGTCTTGCCTGAATCTCCTGCGTTAATGACACCACACACGGCCCACAAAACGGGAGCTGATCGTGTCTGATGAACCAAGTCTGCTCCTTGTAGCCATCCTTCAGAACTTGGGCAGCCCAAAGCACTGTGACCACCACCAGCACTCGCAGCACCAAGTCCTAAAAGCATCGGATGCTGGCAATTCGCAGCTGCATTAATGTGCTTCAAAAAAATGTGATGTATACAACTAAAGCCAACCACCGAACCCCCGAAAGCGGTTCATAGGGAGGTTCTGGTTTCAGGGTCGCGCCTAGTGCGTGGACCCACCGTCTGACACACCCTCTCCGGCCTTTGCGGACATGCCACGAGCCGGTTCTGGTCCTCCCCTCGGCTATGAAGCCTCGCAGCGTCAAGCCGAACCGTGGTGCGCGCGTGCCATTCGGGTCAGTGTGCGGAAACACCTCGGAATCCCCAACCCTGCTATAAATCTGGGAACAGCATCAGGAACAATAAGCTACTAGGAACAAGTGCCTTACTAGTAGTAACAAATGCCTTACTAGTAGTAACAAGAAGCTATTAGAAACAATAAATAGAATTTAATTAGAATATGAACAGCTATTGGGAACAGCTTGGTAAATGGATTTGGCCTATTTCTTAGCACCAATTCGTCGGCTGAAGAGATCGCCTTTACAACTTCAAGCAGCTTCAACTGAGCTGAGCCTGCTGAGTCCACTCAGCGGCAGTCCCCGATGCCTCACGGAGGGTCCAGGTCAGCCAGCAGGTTCTTTGAGCCGTTCAGCGAGCCTACCGGGCCTATGGATGGTCACTCGAAGCGCCAAAAAGTAAGGATCCGCAAGGTATCACAGTGCCGCAAGGATCTATCACAAGGAGCCAAGTCAAATGGAAAGGTGAACTTTTTGGTTCTCAAACACCTGCGCGTCGTCACCTGTAGAATCTGAAGTCCACTGGACTCGGACAAAGATCGAAGTCGCAACGGTTTTCCCCCTCGGAGCGCTATGGCCGGGTGCCATACCTTAATTGATCGATGGCTCGTGGCCATGGTGGAACCTTCTGAGATGCGAGAAAGCCACGACCAATCCGTTTTAGGATCTACAAAAAGGGTGCAGGTCAGGCTCCACCATGAGGAAAGTCGTTGCCATTCTTATTGTGTAATAATTTCGATTAATCTCGAAAGTCTTCTTGCTTGGTCCACCCCACACAACATCACCACTTTCCCTTCCACTGAGCCACCTAATGCTCCCACACCACCGGAGATCCCCTGGCCATCTGGCCAAAAGGATCAGCCTATGGTGCTGTGTTGCATGTTCCATGCACGAATTGCAAGCCCTGCTGGTGGCGTCCATCGCAGCATTCCCTCTGGTGCAAAGGAAAGACAGAAAGCTAAGTTTGGGGAGAACGACCCCAAAGGCACTTGTGTTTGCTCAAGTAACAAAGTCCGTAAAGATATCTCAGCCACCCCCTACCCTTCACAGGTGGCACGGAGGTATTTCCTTGATTCTAAGGATCAAACGCATAAGCACTATTGCAACTTACAACAAAGGACCTTTCGCCAAGACTCCAAGCGCTTTGTCCAAGTCAACCAGGTTGAAATAAGAGATAGCCAGAAGCAGCCGCTTAGATTGCCCTAGCCGTAACCTTCTCTGGCTGTTTGTATTGTTCCAACTGGTCTTCTCATCTTCTACAGTATCATGTGTATTTCTAAGATTTGTAGACCGAGTTACTTCGAGTGCTTCGGTTGTTTCAGACTTCACCAAGGTCGCCCCCAGCCGCATGTCATTTACACAGCCGGCGAGTTGAGCGCCCAACCTTGGTCAATGGGAGCACTCTTGGCACGACGATCCAACTGAAGTTTCACTCAGATTCAACTCGGCCTGCTCCCAGAGGATACTATAAATAATTTTGGTGACCTATGAGTGATTAACCCAAAAATATTGCGAGAAAAAACACTTGCCCTTGAGCCACTGAAGCAAGTGATAAAATCTCGCTCACCTCCGTTCAAGCGAAGGGTGAACCTAGCTCCAGTCTGACACCCATTCTGCACCAAGATTGACCGGGAAAGGAATTATATAGTAAATCCTCCAGTGTCTTGATTGCTCAAGAAAACGCCTGCGCCAGACCTTGACAGTCCGTAAAATGCCTGCATCAGCTGAACCAAACCAGATTTTGGGACCCATACCTGCCGGATCTTCACATTAACGCCGGCGCCAACTTCTTGGAGCCGCCGGGACCATGCCTCGATGCGGCCACAAGGCCCGACTCGCGAGAGGACCAGTCCCAATGGCTTGGCAGAAACTGGAAGTGGCACAAGCGCTTAGTTGATCAGGGCCCGGACCACGGGCAACGTGCTCCACCTGTGTATTTGGATGCCAACAAAACCCTAGATTTTGGTGGGTTCTGGGGGAGCACAAAGTCTTTACAACGCAACATGTGCTCTCCAGAGCTGCAAGTAAACTATCATGCGTCGTCCAGGTTGATGTTCGAGGCTTCTCAACCAAAGATTGCGAAAAGCAGAACCTCAGAAATGCCAGTTGCCACATACTCTAGAACTCTGGGATTGGAGGCCATCGCTACTAGGTTGGAGTTGGAGGCCTTGGGGAGGCCATCGCTACTAGTCTTCTCCTGGCCTGGCTTTGGCGAGGACGAAGGGGATGGCTTCCGCCTTGCGGCTCGCTTCCCTGAAGGCCTCAGGGTGCGCTGCGAGCATGCCTTGGATTCTGAATGCCCTACGTTTGGGTCGGAAAGATGTAAACTCTCCAAGACCACCTTTCTTGCCGTGGCCGCCATCACTTGCCAGGCATTCCAAGCTGCATTCACTTCTGGCATGGTGAGAGATGAGCTGCAGTCACGCAGTCACCCAGATCGCCCTCTGGTCTGCTGATTTATGCTCAGGATATGTAGAAATGCAATGTTCAAAGGTCCAAACTCCTTTTCTAGATGCAAGAATCAAAGGAGTGGCAGTGGTTCCGGTGGCAATGCTTTCAAAAAGGATCCAACAGAAATTGATATCCTGACTAACAAATGGCCACAAGTTCTACAAACCTTGCTAATTACAAACCAGGACCAAAAAGGGAATTCACCCATCAAATTATAGGTTGTTGTCTCAATCATCCACTTCTTTTGTCACGGTATTGAAATGAACTCAACCCTCAGGGCGCCACGGCAGCACAGGGCTTGACACCGCAGAGAGCAAAGCAGCTCGGTCGCCTCATTTTTCAGAGGCAGCCGCTGTCCACCTAAAAATATGGGCTCACTGACAGAGATGTAAATTAAACATAATTAAACTGAATACATCCTGTCGACCCAGGTGTAGGTGAGGAAATGATTTAGAAAAAGAACTTGTGGGTTGTCACCTACCAACTCTTCACTAGGTCTCATCCTGCATCCTGGTGGGTGACCCAGAAGCCATCCACTTGGCGCCAAGGAGCTGGACCAGGCCCGTTCACTGGCCATCAACTCCTGGTGTTCTCGCTGCAGCTGCTGCCGCAACGCCACGACCTAACAACACAATGGTCTACTGGTCGTCGGCCTTGATTGCGTTGTGACAACGCTGATACACCCACCTGCTCCTGCAGCAAGGAGGTCTTACTCTCAGAGAGCGAAGCAGAAGCGCGCAACCTGCGAGGCATGTAGAACCAAGCGAGGTTGACCATGAGATCTGCAAGAAGAATCTGCTGTTCTGTTCTGAGGTAGAAAAGCACTCTTGGCACACCCAAGTCACAACTGGCATCTTGCGCCGGAATTGTTTGCTTGGTCCCGCATGATTGTGTCCGCAGCCCCTGGTCGACTGCCCCCTTTAAGGCAACTAGGAGAATCAACGGAAGCGGGGAGAGTACGATTCTTGGAATGGCAGATCAAAGCTAGCAGCAAGAATGAGGCGTTGCACAAGATCTGCTGAGCTTCCCAGACGCATTCAATCCGCGTTGATGGTCGCTGCGCTCTCGCGCCAATTGTTCACCTTGTTCCTGAGGTCTTTCACAAGTGGGTCTGGTTTCAATTCAGGCCATGCGGAGACACATGGAAAGCAATCAGAAGTCAGGGGTTGGGGCATTGACGCTGGAGAGTCTTTTTGCTTGGGCCCCGCGGTGTAGGACTCTGTAAGAACCGCATTGGGAAAGATGCGACCATTAAGCTAGAGAGGACATCTGGCTGTCCTTGAGGTGCATGGTGAAAGAAGAAATGTTGCGTGTCACGGACTTTCTTTGATCATTGGTCTACCAGGTACCACCCATCCAACAAAGTCGCTCGATTCGATGCAAATTGTCCAAACTCAGGATCCACCACTGTCAGAACTTTGTGCAAGGTGGCTTTAAGATCTGCTAAAGATCACTCGGTCCAGAGATTCCCCTAATTTGTGCAAATAGAACCTTTTCGCAGGTGAACCCAAACTGCAGTCCCAAACTAGGGTGCCTGATCCAAAAACGCTATGGGTTCACTGGCTTAACCTGCTATCAAAAGTCATCTGGATATGTCTAGGAACTGAGGAACTGTAAATATACAGTACATGTACATACTGTAGGTCCAGTGTACCTCTTGCAAACAAAACCATGTTCAAAAACTTCTGTAGCTTTGAGTCCCCATCTTTTGATGACCACACCCTTCTGACGGGGGCACCGACTCTCGAGACACTGGCCTTGAGGAGATCCTGCAGATGCCGGATGTTCTTCTCTTGGTCCTCCGCCTTGCAAAATGGGAGACGAGCTGTCGTGATGGTGAGAAACGATGAGAAACGAAGAGCTATGACATGCAAGGGGAGACAATGACAGGCACAAAGGATGAGACTGTGTGCTTCGGGTTCTGTAAACCGAAAATCGTCACGGCCACCAGTAGCTACTTGCCAGATCTACCTGGTTTACCTTACAAGAGTTGAAGTTCAGATGGTCGGCCGCTGCCCCTGGGATGATCCTGAGGCTGGGACCATGGAGGTCTGCAACTCCATCGAGCGATGAAGCTCAAGGATCCTGCAATTGGAAGATGTGTTTTGGATGTGTTTTGGATGAGATTCGCAGATTGGCAAGCTTTCTTCAGGTCAAAGCAAGCGGTACAGTGTCGACATCCTCAACCCCGGCGTGGAAAAGTTGTTGGCTGAGGCAGTGGCACAAGTTTCCAACTAGATCGATCTCCCTTTGTCGGGGAAATCAGGGTGAAAAAACAATAGGGCACGCTCACCCTTCTTGACTCTGGGGCTCGCAAGTTGAACCTGAAGCGTTCCACCCGGAGGATTGACTTCGCTGGAGCAAACACCGGAATACCAGCCGTTCTCCAAGGATGCGTAAGAAGAACCTTGTAGCAGTTGTTGCTAGTTGCAACTTGTCTGAATAATGAGGGGGGCAACCAACACATGCATCCCGCTCTGGCATATCTTACCCTTCTTGCAAACTCTTCAGGAAGGGCCGAAGGCATGCCTTCAGTGTGGCATGCCTTCCAAAAGGAATTGCTTCATGGCTGAAACACATTGCCCAAAGAAAGAACTGCAAAAACGAACTCTTGAAGGCTCGCCACTCAGTTCATAGGTTCATCCACAGCCCAAGAGGTGCAGCTACTGGGGCCCCTGACTTCTGCTGCTGTGCCTGATCCGACATCTGGGCCGCATCCTTCAGTTCGGCCTCCCGTTTCAATGCCTTCAGTTCGGGGCATCCCGTCCGATCCGAGACGTCGATGAGTCGAGATCGTCTCAAGCGGCGGAACTTTGCAACGGACCCTCGGCGGACGGGGCTCCCCGGCTCGTTGCTGGACAGCTTGAACCTGGAGCGGCGTTGCTGCACAAGTCTACCAGTTATTGATCAAAATGGCACCCGGCACTTACTACCTTCAATTATGTGTTTTTGTTGGTTTAGAGATAATAGTCTCCCAGTGTCAACTTGGAATTCCGGATACATCTTCGAATGCATTCTCTGTCCTGCTCCTGCAAGGCACGCTCTCGCTGCATCTCTGCCTGCAAACAGTCAAAGATCACAAATCTTCTGGAAGGTAAAGACTGCCAGCACCAGTCAGCTTCTATCAGTCTATGAATGCCTGGCACAGAATGAAAAAATCATGACAGATCCCAAATGTCCAAGAACGGGAAACCCCATCTCGCCATGGTTCACCTGCACCAAGTCCTCCCGCGCGCGTTCTGCATCTTGAAGCTCTGAGTGGAGTGTGCCTCGGCGCTGTTTTGGACCCACTTGGCAGAGATACAGCCCAATCACATTTGCATCCAACCTACTAGCGATGGCCTCCAACCTCAGAGCGATGGCCTCCAACCTACTAAACTAGCGATGGCCTCCAACTCCAACCTATATAAGAGCGATGGCCTCCAACCTACTACGGATGACAAACGACATGTTCCTCTAACTATTCAGGCCATCCTGATGGGTGTGGGATCAAAACCTCGGCACCACCCAGAACCAAATGGTATTACATCAACTTCACCCCATCAATCAACATTGATTCATGTTGATTCATACCTTCAACCAAATGCGGCGCTGGACTTGACTCGAATCCCCAGTACTGAAACTCTAGTTCATCCAAGTTATTGTTCAAGAAACGGCTGCTTTGTTTGGAAGTGGAGACAACTAACAACTCTAAATCGTCTGTCTCACAATGCATCTTGCAGAAGCAGCACCCCTGCACACACGCCCAAATCAGCTGCTTGAAGTCAGCCTTCAAAAGTATGACGACCTCTAAGGTTACACACCTTACCACTCACATCCACTCACTTTGAACCATCAAGTCACGTGCACAAATTCCGGTATCCCTCATATCTACCTTCCCAAATATTGCTAGCAAATGTTCCAAAATGCTCGCTCCTCCAGCCCTACACCCTACTCCAAGTGCTCCAGGCTGATCTCTTTCATGGCACTGCGCTTCTCTGCGTCCAGCTGTGTCACATCCGCCAGAGCCTCCAACACAAACTCTTCAATCGTCAATAGGTGTTACTATTCCAAAACTGCGGGCTCTTTGGGTTCCGTGTCTCTCACAGGGTCACAACCAGGTTTTCCCGGTGTAAACAAGTGGATGCGTTCGCATGGCCCAAAGCATTCGTTTCCTCCCCGACCTGTTCCAGTTGCTCTTGCAACTTCTCGCACTGCTGCTTGCTGGAGCTCTTGTCATTCTCCAGGTCTGCCATCTTGGTTGCCTCCCGTCGACTGCAAAGCAACCAAACCAAACCAAACCTCAAAGTTGCAAATAGGTCCAAACACGAAAGAGAACCTGGTGCGAAGGCCCTCCAGGATTCAGCAAAACACCATCACTGATTGCCTGGGAGGCCCGCTCACGTTTCACTGCTTCCACGATCGCCTGGCAAGGAAACCAATTTCTACCTGCTGCAACTACATTTGTCACCATGGTCTATATAGTCTGGAAATGATATTGACCCTCCTGCCCAAATGTACAGAAGGCTTGTGATCAGCGATCATGCTTCCAGCAATTCGTTCAAACAACTTCCCTTTGGAAAGGTCAAATGGAAATCTCTACGTTTTCGTCTGTTGGAGGAGCCCATTTCTCCAGCTCGTCTTTCACCATCTTCTCTTCTATCTGTTCCCTTCCACGCCTCTGCCTCCTGTCTTGTGCGGTTTGAGCGCTCGGCCTCACTCAGCTGCAGGGCACGGAGTTCCAAAGCCTGGCAGAAAGAATGGAGAAACCAGTGCAACAAGTGAGACCTATTCCAAACAACTGTCGCAGGCAAGTCGCAAACAACATTCATGCCCGGAAATGCTCAGTGAGTGGAGAGGGGGCACCTTACCCAATCAATGCAAAGAACTGGGAGAGGGGCGTTGGAGGTTCGAAATGAAGTAAAGTGAACATGACCTTCAAAACCTCCTTTTTATGAAACGGCTCCGTATTCCTGATGGAAATACGCTCAACACCCAAAACTTACAACTCTTCAGAATCTATATAGGCGTAGTTGCGACTCTAGAGATGCACGAAAGAGGGTCACGACGTGTCAGGACAAGGTACTTTCCTGTGACACTCATCACCCAGCCAACAAAAGGTTTGCCGCAGCTGTCGACACAATGCTGAAATTGTGTTGGCCCAAAGGCTGCACCTCATCGTGGCTCTGCACCAGCTGCGCACGCAAAGCGTCCGCCTCCTGTCGAAGTGCGGTTTGAGCGCTAAAAGTGTGCACCTTACTGAACATGCGTTTAGATCAAATGAAAAATGGCCGTTTCGATATCTGTTGATGTTTTAAGCCCGTGGCCCTGCCTCCTTACTTAATTATGTAGGCGCCTACTTAATTGAGTAAGGGAGTAAGCTACTAGGCTAAGTTAGCATAGCTCACGCACTAATGATTTGGTAGTAGCGTCCTTGCTCCTAGTAGCCTTGGAGTTGGACCTTGCAGGTTCTCGTCTTTGGAGTGGCTGACCATTCTGCTCTTATTGGCTGTGGGTTTGCGCGCATTGGGACTCCCGGCTGCAAGCATGCGCCGCTGGTCCCGCGCGAAGGAGCTGTCCAGAGACCGGACCTGGCATAAAGTGTGCAGGAATCCATGAGGGATTCTATGTTTAGATACATGGAATTCTGTGGGATTCCATTGAGCCTCTTGACAACTAGTCTGGTCCACAATCCATCAGTGTTGTCTCTATCTGCATCACCAACGTCTCAACTCTAATTCACCATTAAACATGCTCTTTTGCAAGAGCCTCACTAGAAACAAGCTTCGCACCATGGCTTGCCAGCGAAGAACTCGCCAATGGCCCAGCAATGCCTGCAAGACAGAAATAGCTGAAAGGAACATGTTGTCCCTCAGAATGCTGAGCAAATTTCGTAGTAATAGTAGTCCAGCACACAAACACATGTATTCGAGCTCCGACCATTGTATTCTTGTCAGTAAGAACCTCTACTATAGCTGTCTGTCTGGGCAAATGTGCCGCAGCAAGGCGAAACCGCTCTTCCAGCCTGCTGAAGTCGAAGTCTCACCATGTTGGAGAGGATGGACCTCAGAATGCCCCAGTCATAAGTCCAAACAAGGTCTGCCATTTGTCTGTCACTCGTAAGATCGTTATCTATGCTGTCATGAGAACCATGGTAAGGTTTTAGAGCAATGTGTTTGATCCTGACATCTCTTCACTCCAAATCATCTATATATATATATAACTGTCCTGCTTCCCTCCTTGACCTCCGGACTTGTGCATCACTTGAAACTGCATCTCTTTCGAAACATGGGCTGCAAACTGCGACACAATGCCCAACAGAGTGTTTCACGAAGATGGAGGAAGTGGCTCGACTATTCAAGCCCCTCAAAGGGCCCAAATGTTTGAAGACACTCCAATTTACAACACAAACATGATCGCAAAATCGATTCTAGCAAGGACGCTACTAGGTTGGAGCCCATCGCTATTAGGTTGGGAGGCCATCGCTACTACTAGCAGTAGCAGGGGCGCTATTAGTTAGTGACGATCTGCGGGTTTCACCTCTTGGCTTCAGCTCCGCACACGCCATGGCAGACTCGCAGCTCCCGCTGCGTCTCCCCGTGTGCCATCAAGCGGCACTGGGCCGACGCCTTTGGTTTTGAAGCTTGTCAAAAGCTTGGCGACAGTTGCGTCAAACAAGAAAAGAGCTTCCAACATATAGCAGACATACGTATCACATACAACAATGCTTGAGGCTTAGAAGCCAAATGCGTCTCTTGCTACAGGATGTCTCCGGAGCATGCTGTGTCCGGGTCTCCAACCTTTGGCTCAGTTTGGCAGGTGTCCGCGCCTCAACGGCGGTGGCCATCGCCGACCCGCGCCAGCCTCAGAACACTTCCAGGCAAACATCGCAGAAATTCAGAGCTCCGCACATGTTCTCAAACGAGTTCCAAAGAACGAGTTCTCAAACGAGTCAAATCTGACTTCCGGATGCCAAAAGTCCGTGTTCCGCATGGATCCAAAATGAGTTCTGTCAAAATCGCACCGGCAAGATCCAGGCATTGAAGAGCCCGCTGACGAGCCCGCCTTCATGAGGGACAAGTCTTGATCATGTGGCAAAACAAGGGGTGTGCTTTGCCCCCTAAACTGCTTGCAAAAGAAAAGCAGCAACTAATCGGTAAAATGAGTAATGCTTGCCGGGCACATCTAAAGCAAAACAACTGAACAAATGGCACCAACTCGCCGCCTCGCCTCTCCTTCGCAGCCAGCAGGTGAAGCAGAAAGTGGGCGGCTGAGGTCCTCTGCTCCTGTCATGGGCGATGGAATCATGGCTCCCCAAGGCATTCACTCACATCTTTTAGGTTGCCAGCAAAGTTCTGTCTGACTAGCTACTTGGTAGGAAAAGGCTGCAGGTTTTTAGCGGGATATATTTTTTATTTTTAGTGGGATGTATTTTTGGGGGGGGTTGAGCCTTCTGATTCTGTTGCTTTAGACAGTTTCTCATTAGGTCTACTGGGTTTTTACGTGCTACTATTGGGTTTTTGAGCTAAGTGATCCCTCTACGTGCTGGTGGCCCATAGCTTGGGTTTGAAGTCGACTGTTCGCGGGAGGCCCAGGATCAGATCGGAGCGTTTTGCTTCGATGTGCAGCAAAGCCTTTGAAGTGCAATTTCCTTCCTTCCTTCCTTCCTTCCAGAGCCCATAAAAGAAAAAAAGCATCCCACCCCCCAAAAAAATATATATCCCACGGAAATATGCCCTCCGTAGGAAAATGAGATCGAGGTCTTGTCTGTCAAGAAATTGCTTGACGAGTCTGCCAGTGCCGATGAAAATAGCTCGCTTGAGCGAAGAGTTTGGAGGTATATAGTATACGTTTCTCCATGTCCATCCACACTGCAATGGGATATCATCCCTGGTCCTTCACCTCACGAACATCACTTTTAAGAGGAGACCGTCCACCCGCTCCTGTGTGGCAGCTTGTGCATCACAAACGCTGCGCCAGGCACTTAGAAGGACCTCCAGGAGTTTGGTGGGGTTGCTTTGGAATGAGGAAAGAGTAGCTGGGTTCCTCACTCTTTGTTCCAAAGTACGCACCTGGCCGCGCGCAGAAAGCTATGGAGTCCAGTTTCCCTTCCCAAGCGACTTGAAATCAAACACCAGGATGGCCCCGGTCAAGAACATGTTTTTAACAAACATATCACAAGTTCCACAGCGTGGAGTTTTGGAGGCCATCGCCATTAGGAAAACAAGAAGCTACTTGTAACAAAGGGCATCGCTACTAGGAGCAAGAATGCTACTAGTAGCTCCTGGCCTTAATACTAGTAACAAGAAGCTACTAGTAGCTAGAAGCTACTAGGTGGAGGCCATCTCTATTAGTCTGGTACCCTCAAATTTTGGGAAATAGCTCTTGTCAAGCAGCAGCACTCCGGACTGCCTGCCTGGTGCAAGTGAGAGCAAAGCCTGTTCATCTCAGCCTGCAAGATGAAGGCTGGGCTTGATACACAGAAGTGCTTCTCTGACTTCTCTGCATGTCCCTCCTACAAGTATACAGTATACGATATTCGTCCGTTTGGCTGTAGACTGTCGTGCCAATCCATCTCTTATTGGCCGAACAAGTGTAGGATCACACCGTTCTGAGAGAGTGTTCATTAATGTTCATTATCATCATGACGCCAAATGCGTGAAATTGATGGTAATTACAAACCGTTACCCAGCAGTGTGTCTGCCACAGATCAGTGGCATGTACATGTTCAAGTGACACAGCTGATGGTCGCTGGGCCTGCCCCCGCCGTTCTCTCCACTGCTCACAGAGCCAGTGCGTAGACCTTTTGGCCCGCTCCAAGTCGACGATTTGTGCCTCCTGTGCAGCCAAAGCATCGGGCCAAAGCATCACAGAGGCGGGGCCTTTTGAACAGAGGGAATAATCCAACGTCGATCACCCTCCTAACTTGGATTTATATAAGCACAAGCACCCAATCTGCCGCAGTCACCTGCGCAAGACAGTCCCGCTTCACCGCATCCATCATGGCCTCCATGGGTCGGCCGACAGGATACACCGCAGCCGAAAAATGTTCACAGACCAAGGATTCCAGTACACATCGCTACTAGGAGCAAAGACGCTACTGGTAATTGGTTTTCAGATTTTTGACCGACCTGTTGTCAGTTCTTGCAATCCCGCCTCGGCTTCCTGCTGGCTCTGAAGAGCCTTCTGCGCCTGGCTTTGTTCAAGAGGTGGTTTTGTGGTGACTTGTGGGATGCAAAAAAACATCCAAATCATGTCTTTCATGCCATCATCCTTTTGAACGACAGAAGTTAACAACCCTTACTGCCTTACTTGGCCCAAATGATCACATCGGCCACCTCATCACGGCTCTGTACCAGTTGGGAGCGCAGCACCTCTGATTCCTGAGCAGCAGTGGTTCCCGTTAGGGTGGCTGGCAGAGTGCTTGGGCTGGTTTCATAATGTCATCTCGACAGCCCCAAGGTTGGGGCTATTGGTTTCAATGAACACTTTACAGTAATCAGTAATGGATGTTTTGCAGCCTTTATGGTTGTGTACTTTAGAAAGACTCTCGCTCCAACAATCTCCATAAAACTCTCAATTGGATGAGGGAGATCCAATTGAGACACAATCATGTTTGCAAGGCACGGCCTAGAATCGGTGCTCGGGGCAAACCTTTCACTGGGAAACAAAACCACGAAACCTTTTTGACCAGCATCGACCAATCGGGCGCTCCGGCCGCCAGCATTCGGCGATGATCTCGAGCCACTGAGTCATCCAGGGATCGGACCTGGAAAAGCCCGTGAAAAGGTGGAAAGTGTGGAAGACCCTAGTAGCGTCCTTGCTCCTAGTAGTAAGGCCAGGAGCCCCTAGTAGCTTCTTGTTACTAGTACGGGAGGTGGAAAGGTGGAAAAAAACGTATTGAGATGTGATCACAATAATTTGATCCTGCAGAAAAGACTTGGGCTCTTGTTACATCTCAGCGCACCATGTGTTGCCATCGTAGAATGCGCCACTGGCTGATGGCCTGGTCTGAAGCATAGAAACGTGAACTGTGCTTGACCTGTCTCATCCCCGCTAGTAATGTGGGTGAAGTTCTTGGAAAGACATACAGTATCACATGTGACAGTTGTTGCGTTCACTTGCTCATTCACGTGCTGAAGATATACAGTAGGTGCAACCAAACGGAAAATTTGTGTCACTTTCTTTGGAGGAGCGTAAGCTGTTCACGTTGATGTACATAGTATATATATATACCAATGTGATAAATCAGCGACTGCAATCACCCCACGCATTCTGCCAGCGCCTGCGATAGAGACCCTTGAAGCTTGTTGGAAACTAGAGTCGCAAGGATTGACCTGGGCACCATGTTGATGCATCTATATAAGCTCATCAAAAACTTGCAAAGACAAGGGATTCAAGGCTCCTTGTGTAGACCTATTCTGCCCTTCACGCAGCCCCTCTTCTCCATCCTCATCTGCAACAATGCGCACCGCGGCTAAGGGGAATCACCAAAGGATTGAAGTGTCCACCTATGGTTCGACCCCCACGGTCACATCAAAGTCTCCAGTGGTTGGGAGCCCTCGCAGCCCTAGTCGCATCCGCTCTGGTTGGTGCGAGGCCTGGCTGCCAAGTAGGTGTCTGGAGATCCTTCAAATCAGTTCCTTCGATGGTTGAAGTTCATTATCATTCTTTGACTTGAAAGGCTTTTCATCAGCCGATAACTCTCCAATCACTGGTCTTTCTTTTAGAAGTGCAGATCCAGTTGAGAGGTCAACCTCGGGTTCCGCGATTTCAGTCCATGCTTGGATCCTGATTATGACCTGGTGGTCCAACGCACCTGTTGAGTGTCATTTGTTGCTAGACACCGGTGCAAGCTACTCAATGAACTCCCAAACTCGAGGGCTCCCCATCACTCTTGTCTTGGGTATTGATGAGGAGGTTTCATCGTTTACACATGTTTACTGTGTCTTCTCCCTCCGTTGGTTCCCATTTAGTGCCTCCAAGTGCATAAGCTGCGCTGCCCCGTGCCAGCCTAAACTGCTTCGGTGAAGGCTTTGGTCGTCAGTGGCTTTGAAGACTTTGTCTGGTGAAAGCGTGAAGTTGAGTGGAAGCGAGTGGAACTTACAACCAATCAGGTTTTGCTTCTTTCCTAACATGTGGATTTGGGGGTTGACGCACCCAAGCAAGTCTTTGAAGGGTGCCAAAACAGAACTTCTCCAATGCTTCAAGAGTTCAGGGTTGAGATGGTCCCTCATCAGGCTTGCAATTTAAAAATCGTTCCAGCTTTTTCCACCCTGTGGCATGCGCGATATCTGAATCCCGTGCGTCCACTAGCGATTCCATGTGCGCACACCAGGAGGCTAGACAAAACAAAAACTAGATAAAAAAAACTAGTAGATCCAATGGAACCACAATTCAAAGCCAACAATCCCTCCAAGGTCTGCACGCTGCAAAGCAGCACGGCACGAGCACCTCAGTCTCATGAGTCGTCCCAAAGCTCTTCCAGCATGTTTAGCTCCAAGCAGCTGCCAACACTGATCAAGACCGAACTGTCAGTGGCACCCAACAATGTCCCGCCAAAAGAATGTTTTAATCCCTGCCCACATGCGTCTTTGCGAGCCTCTCATGCACTGAGAGCATATGGAGCAGGAATTGAGCCGCGGTCTTCTTCTGTGCCTTGCTGCGAACATGCAAGGCCGAAGGCCAAAGCTCCAGCTTCTTCGAATAGGACTAAGGCGAACATAGAAATCATAATTATGCAAGCTCGTGGGGCAAAAGAAGTTGCCATTCCACCTTTGAGATTGTCGCTTGCATCTCAAACTCGTGCCCCAAGTTTGGGGTCACCAGTTTTCTCTCGAAGACCAGGAAGACCATGATACAAATCCACCTTTGGCTAGGCTTGCCATGAACAGCTTCTCAGTTTGGCATTCAACTATAGCGCCTCGCCGGCATTTTGCAGGGCAGAGGTGGTGTTCCATCCTTGCAGCAGGGCCTGTACAGCAGCTGAGTCTCTGAGGTTCTGTGATTTTCTGTCAATTGCAACATCAAAAAACATCCAAACCTAGTGACGTAGTGGCCTTCCCCACTCCCCACTCCGCGTGCCCATCTTCTCCCAAAAGAGTGCACCAAAAAACTCCACCACTTTCACTGGTCAACCCACCCCCTCCCTCCACTCCACCAGCACTTGCCACGAAGAGACGCCTCCCAGCGCTCCCTCTGCCGCTCGGCCGCCCAGGCCCCCGTGGTGTGCGTGCGCAGCCGGTGAAGCCCCCGGCGCTGCAGGCCGCGCTGCGCCAGCTGAGTGAGGCGGCCCAGGCGACGCCAGGCGGTGGAGAGATCACCTCGGCACTTGTGAGATGAAATGGTGCGAGGAACTGCAAAAGCTTCAAGAAATTGAACTCGGCGTTTGGGGCTTTCCGGCAATCAGAACCTCATCTTGGAAAGAAAGTGCCTACATGGCCTTCGAACTTGGCTTCCTTCTACAAATGAGAAAAGGAAGAAAGTGACTTTTCGCCCAAGAGACGCAGACATCGCTCCGCTTGGCTGGCCAGGCGCCGGGCCTCCCGCTGCCGGAGCGCCAACGCAAAGGCCACCAAGCGTGCCATGGGGCGGCGTTGGCCTTAATGCGCAGAGGGTCTGTTTGCCAAGAACTTGCAAACAAATTGGGCCATTTTGAGTCATGATCTTCCACGGGCTTGATCGATCTGATCTCACCGGGTCCCACCTGAGCTCTCGACGGATCAGCTCCACTGACTGCTGTCGACGCGCTTGCAGCTTCTCCAGCGCCACATGGGTGGCGCCTCAGCACCGCAGGCGATTGCCGCGAGATGGTGAGACAAACTGAATGATCCAGACGTCTCACAATGAGAGAGGAAACTCCAACCAGATTCAACCAGCAGGTGCTCAAGATATGGTCGCCCTTTGGAACCTACGCGAAAAACCTGATCTTGCTGGGACCTCCTCCCCCTTTGTGTCAAGTATTTTGCACCTCGTATGACCACCGACTTTCTTTTTCTGTGCTCTCGACCCACCGAGGTTCCGGCAGCTCCGTAGGCGCCAGGGGTTTTCAGCCAGGACCATCTGCACCAAGCGACGCCAAGAGCCCCTGGCAGCCTGGCGAAGACTTGGAGGCCACACATGGGGGAGGCGTTGATGAGTGTTTGGAATGGCATACGTCAGAAGATTTGACATGCCAATACTGCCTTTTCAAAGAATGTGGTTTGATGCCCCGTACATCACTTCACCAAGGCGGGTGACATGTTTCTTCAACCAACACAAATTGTCCAACGTCTTTTGGAGTCATCCCGCGTCGTCCTGCATCGTCCTGGCCTGGTTCCGGGCGCTCTCCGCCTGCGCCCAACGCATCGGGCGCAGCAACGCCTGCAGCGCCGCCCGGCGCAGGGACGTGCCCAGCGAGATCCAGCGCTGCGAGGCACAGGCCAAGGCTTTGGCTTCGCCTCGGGACATCTGGAGGACATCGGGAAGACGGGAAAGGAAAAAAAGGACAAGGGAAACCTAATAGCGATGGCCTCCGACCTCTCCGACCTACTTGCGATGGCCTCCATGATGGCCTCCAACCTAGTTATGATGACTGATGGCCTCCAACCTAATAGCAATGGCCTCCAACCTACTTGCGATGGCCTCCAACCTACTAAGGAAAAAGGAAACCGATATACTATTTTAATACAAATTACACTTACCAAACTGGAGCTGGAACTAACTTCACCACTGATTTACCTGACACCAATGAAATTGCTGATGGATTGTCTGGATGACTCTGGAGGTAACTGAGCTACACTTATATACATGAGATGACCTGGCAGAAACGGCTACTGACTGACTTTAAGGTGTTGTGCAAAAGGATTTGGGGAAAGGAGTAATCAAAGGAGAGCATAATTGCTTGGATCAATCCAATAAGACCCAAATGTCCACGAACCACATGGGAAGAGTAAATGACAGCTTGGATCGATGCGTCCATGCAGCAATATCAAAAGGACGTTGAGCCCATCACACAACAATGTCTCAGCATCTGTCATGGGACATCCAAAAATATTTACAGTGTTTTGAAGATGTGGATTCTGTGGTTGCTCCAGAGAATCGGATTTGGCAAAATCTATTGCACCATTTGTTAATGAGGAGTACCCAACGGGACAAGTAGTCTGAGATTTTAGAGTAGGGTGGCTGCCGTGGACTGCAAGGCTCTCACGGTCAAGGCTCTGAGACATGCATATCCTTCTTAGTCCTGCCAGGTTGCTGGACTCTTCCAACAGCCTCCGGCCATTCCGCAGGGAGGAGCATTCAGCCGCGAAGGTGTCACGTTGCAAAGAGGCCTTCACAAGAAATCACGGGACAGTGATTCCCTCACATTACGACGCAGGAGCAGCCGAGACGAACAGAGTAACCGCTAAAGCAACCCCTAATGTTCGAGCTTCAGATGGCCAACTGCCACACCCGCCTGCAAGTGCATCGCTTCCAGCTCTTGCTTTAATTGGGCTGCCTCCTGGCGTGCAAATAGGCTTGGATGCTTGCAACACCTCACCTTGGAAGCGCAAGTCCTCATATTAACTGTGACATACTCAAATAAACACACTCAACATGGGCATAGATGCTTGAAAACTCTCGAGACCATGGGCATGCCATGTTCTTTCTCTCCCACCTTGCGAAAGTGTGACTCTTCCACCTGCCGCATGGCCATGGTCAAGGACCGCTGCTCTGCCTGCACCGACGCATTACAGTGGCACTCAAACAGGTGACAAGTGCCCAGCAGCACCCAGGAAAAGAATCTACAAATTATTCTACCTTTGACGGGGAGAAGAGCACAAGTGGAAAATGATCTATCCCCCGCAGACTAACATGAACCCAGACGCGTGGCCCGCGGAAGAACATTTAATCTACAACCCAGGGGTCTCCGTGCAAGTTGCTTCTTCAAACGGAGTTGGTGTCAGTAGCGTTGATACTCTTGAGGGTACTTACGCGCACATGTTGCTTGGCACAGCGGGAGTGGTTCGGTGACAAACCATGGCTCCTTGGCGAGCTGCAACGGAGCAACAGCTGAGAATTGGGCTTCCGAAAGAGAACTCGTACTCAGCAAACAAGCACGGCGCTGCAAAAAGAGTGCTCTTTTCTACGCCCCAAAAAAGGTGCCGAATTTGATCAAGCTCCAACTTGTTCGCAAGAGCTCATCGCCGGTTCCATGACTGGCTTATTCAGACTGCCAGGGATCAAATGTCAATAGGTTGTTCAGACTCAAGTTGAGTCTATAAGGTCTGTGGGATACAGGACAATCATTCAGTTGAGTGAGTGGGGTCCTCAAGCGAATGCTTTGCTGACCGAATGTCCCCGTGGACAGAAATCATGTGCAACGCATATTAAAGATAAGAATCGAGCTCTGAAGACTCCACATGGAAGACCAGACTCACTTTCATCGGAAGTGAATCTGGAACATTCAAATGATATGTCATAAAGATCTGGCTCTCACTGTGATATCATCGATATCTGGAAGATTCAGTGTTCGATGCGGCACACCTCAGCACCTCAGCGCGTCCAGTGATTCAGGATCTCGCGGAGCCGGTCCTGCCAACCTTTTGCCTCGCCCCTCTGATCCAAGACAATCACCTTGAAGCCGAAGGGGCTCTTTCCGACTGCTTTCCTTGCATGCTTTGCAATCAGGGAATTCATGGTTCATGGCTGAGCTTAGAACAAGTAAGCATCACGTTCTTTCTCAAGCAAAAAGGATGAAACGCATATCAATAGCGGTGAAAGGTTTGAGGTCTCAAAGCTGAGGCTTTAGAAAGCTGAGCTTCTCGAATTGAGCTAGCTGTCGGATGTAGGCTTGGTGCGCGAGGCCATTGGGGCCCGTTGGATGCTGACGATCCAGTGGTGTCATTGAATGGAAAGAGTCGCGGAACGGGAGTTCCTCAAAGATTGATATTTGGTACAAGTCGTTTGCCTCTCTTCCTCTTCTTCTTGTTTCTTATTCTTCTTATTCTTATTCTTATTCTTATTCTTCTTATTCTTCTTCTTCTTCTGCTTCTGCTTCTGCTTCTGCTTCTTCTTCTTCTTCTTCTTCTTCTTCTTCTTCTTCCTGGGTGGGGGATGATGGATGAGCTAACAAATTCAATGTTTGTTTGCAGCTGCGATGCGGGCAGCAGCGACAGACACAACTTCACAAACAAACATAACTTCACTACCTTCGGGAGAGAAGGATCTCTGGTCACTGGTCTTTACATAGATAAGAGTTTGTGCTTGCAAATTTAGGTTTTGTGGACCTATATACTATATCTTTATCTATTTACAGTTTGAACAACCAATGATGACAGAACAAATCCCGCAGAAGGAGCTTGCTGATAGAATGACCTCAACACACCAGCAACAAGTGGCTTGTGCTTGATCACATGATAGTCAAAGAAACGAAACTGTGCTCCTTGAACTCTTTTCTCTTTTTTACTTCAAACGTTGGGCCGTCCTCGAAGCTTTCCTCGAGGTTTGCAATGACTGGCTGCCCATCATAGGGGGCCGGTAGATCGTCAATCAGCTCCATCTTGGGCTGGGAGGTGCATGTAGTTTTACCAACTCCAAAGGCAGAGAAAGTTCTCACCCCATCGCTTGGGTCAGGCAAGCTATCTGCCTTTTGCTTTCCCAACAGGTTGTCACGTGATGCAGCAGGCATCATGGGAGAGACGAAAGGCAAAACAGTTGAGCCAAAACTTGAACAACAGTTGAGTTGTAACCAAGGAGCTTGTTTTTTTCTGCACCTGTGTCGGTGGCAACCGCGGCAACCCTCGGATTTGAGTCTGTTTTGCACCACCACAGCCCAGTGTGCTTGGCTTTCCTGCTCAGGTTTAGAGTCCCAACAGGCATTCTGAACTCAAACTATCCGAGCACCTGGGAAAACTGCGGAAACCTCCTTTTGGTGTGAGGAAACTTCGGAACTTCTCTAGGTTTTCGAAGTTGCTGAGCACGCGATCCGCCTGCTGCCAGGCCAGCCAGGGTGACCAGAGGTGACGCCGAAGGAGGCCAAAGCCTGCGATCGGCGGAAGAACACCCACTCACCGATCCGAAATGTGGAATAGACTCTCTCAGGTCAAAAGTCTGGTGTTTCTCAAAACTTCCGGTGCTTTCCACTCCAACTAGTGCAATGTAGAGCAACTAGCGCCCCGAATCGTAGCTGTCACACCCTTTGCCCACCACCACCACCCGTGTTTGGAAAAAAGAGTCCCTATTTGGTCAACACCAAAATGTCACGAAGGCCTACCTTCACTCCCGATGTCCGAAGCTAGCTTCCCTTGATGACAACCTTCGCACGAGGGCCTTCGGACAGCCTTCAACTCATGCAATTATGCATGTGTTGGAGGAAGGCTTCTTTGCACCAGGTTGACGATAGACACTGCCCAACATGTAAGTCCGACTTACCCACCGGCGCAAAGTCACGCGGATTGAAACCACATCTATCAACAAGGATAGCACAATCCTTTTCCCAGTCGGTCAGGACTCATGCCTCACTCCGTGGAAGATGAATGGAGCTTTTGGTTGCTCTCTCTCTCTCTCTCTCAGCTCAAAGTTCCGGCCCAAACCCATCAAGAAATCCGTAGATCCCCTTCCACTTCCTGCCTACATCAATGAGCTTCTGGCACGCCAAGCTCCGAGCAGCCTCGCAGCGCCGACCCTCTTCCACCTGCCCTCGCCAAGCAGCCATCACGGCCAAGCTGGTGAGATCCTGCGGGGCCACGTTCGAGGGCCACCCCGAGCCACGCAACAGGTTCGGAAGGCTCGCCGACGTTGGTGTGTCCCCCTCGCGTGCTTCGTCATAATGCATGGCCCCCGAGCCACCTGCAGCAAAGGGTGAGGATGTGAAAGCATGCCACGGGATCTCGACCTCTTGTGATGAAAGATTGAAGCCTAATGTCTCCAATTGTTTCTACGCATAAGTCGCATAAGGGCTCCTGCTGCTCTGCTGTCCAATAGCCGCCAGAACGGCGCATGACGCGCCAGCAGAGAGCGTTTCGCTTGGAGGCGAAGGACTCAAAGCAATCGATCTGCACCTGCCGGTCAGTGGATCCAAGCATGCACAAGCATTCCAAGACTTCTGGGGTGGAAAGTGTTGATTTTCCAATGAACTTCCTGGCCGGCGTACTTTCAAGAAGGACTCAGGTAAGCCTTAGCTGGGCCAGCAGAAAATGTGTAGCTTGTTTGCAAGTAAGTACTTTAGCTTTGGTAGTTTGGAAGAAAGCCACCCAAACAAAGATAAGGAGCGAGGGTGTGAGTAAGTGAGCAAGTGAGAGAGAGAGAGAGGGGGGATGATGTCGATTGCAAATCCCAAAATTGAGAAAGCAAATTGTGTAAAGTGACCGGAACGTTGACAGTACAACAGGGTAAAAACTTGTGGCGCAGAATGCGCGGGAATGCATTTGCTCCTGCAGTTTCCCCAGCTATGTGGAACACCCATTTACCTTTCATCCCACCTGCAGGTAGGACACCAAGTCTGCTTCCGCTTGTCGCCGCCAGATTTGCAGGTGTCTCCTGCATTGTTCTGCACTATGCGGCCCATTCAGCTCCCAAATGTCCCGTCCGCTCTTGTTACTAGTAGCTTTTTGCTCCTAGTAGCGATGGCCTCCAACCTACTTGCGATGGCCTCCACCTAATAGCGTCCTTGTTACTAGTAGCCACTTGCTCCTAGTAGCGATACCAGGAGCCCCTAGTAGAGTCCCTGCTCCTAGTAGCGAAACCCCCTAGTAGCGTCCTTGCTCCTAGTAGCGTACCAGGAGCTTCCAGTAGCATCCTTGCTCCTAGTAGCGATACCAGGAGCCCCTAGTAGCGTCCTTGC